CTTCTGGGAGGAGCTTTCACAGTGATCCAGTCAGACAGGTAGAGTGGGTGGTTTTATTTTACCTTAATTCTAGTGGCCCGGTGCATGTAATTCACACACAACAAAAGAGGACGAATTAGAGGAAATATTTTAATATTGGTATCTGCCTTTTCTCTATAATAGAAGTGTCAGAGAGGAAAGAAAACTAGTAAAATGTATATGAAAACCTCCCTCCTGTCAGAGTCTGAGGTGCACCATAGAACTCAGAGTCAAGTCCCGGCCCACCCACATGTGCCTCAAAATCATGTGAGACCCAGACCTGGCTGCCCTCCACCCCCATTGGGCTAGATCCAGACCTAGCTGGTCCCATCTTGACAAACCCCTCTGGGCAGGGGCCACAGCCTGAGCTCACCCGGCCTAGCACCAGGGTGGGGGGCGTGGCCTGAGGTCCCCTGTCAAGCCCCACGGGGGTGGGGGTGGGGTGGTGGTGCAGCCTCAGGTTCCTACTGATTGCTCGTTAAGGCTTGTCAAGGGAACTTGACCTTCGCTGTGGGTGCAGCCATCTTTGTGGTGGAGTGGCAGTCAATTTGCATATTCCCTCTTTATTGTAGAGGACATTTTTATTAATTTCAGAGAGGAAGGAAGAGGGAAGGAGAGATAGAAACATCAACGGTGCGGGATAATCATAGATCACTTGCCTCCTGCACACCTTTTACTGGGGATTGAGCCAGCAGCCTGGTCATGTGCTTGACTGGAAACTGAACCCATGACCCCTTGATTCATGGTCGATACTCAGCCACTGAGCCACATCAGCCAGGCATGGGTGGTCTTACTTTAAACCTCAATTCTCATTCACAAGTGGGTGGAGCTCCAGAACCCGGGTATGCTCAGCCTAGACTGGAAATAACAAAACTTCAGGATCCGCCTTTTGGAGTAAGTGAGGCTACTAACAACCAGCACCTGGCAGACAGGAGGTGCTTATTGGACGTAGGCCCCTCCTTCTGGCTCATCCTTCTGACCAGACTCTGAATTACCCAACAGAAGTAGCAGGTTTACCTGTCTCAGGATCTAGGAGTACGATGGCCACATAGCAGGTGCTCCATAAATATTTGAAAAAGAATAAAGATCCAAGAATAAAAATAATGATAAAACAAGAGATTTCCCACCCTAGCCGGTTTGGTTCAGCGGAAAGAGCACCAATCAGCCTGAGGATGAAGGGTTCCGGGTTTGATTCCGCTCAAGGACACGTACCTCAGTTACAGGCTCCTCCCAGCCCAGGCCCTGGTCAGGGCCGTGCGGGAAGCAGCCAATTGGTGTGTTTTTCTCACATCAATATTTCTCTCTCTTCTACTCTTTCAAAAAATCAATGAAAAAAATATCATGGGGTGAAAATTTTTTTAAAAGGGATTTCTCTAAGCTGGTCAGAGAAAGATAAATATCACCTGATCTCACCCATTTATAGAATATAACAAACAATATAAATTAATGAACAAAAATAGATCCGGAGACAGAGAAACATCGATCAGACCATCAAACCTCAGAGGGAAGGTAGGGGAGGGTGAAGTAAGGGGGAGAGATCCACCAAAGGACTTGTATGCATGCATATAGGCCTAACCAATGGTCACAGACAATAGGGGGGATGAGGGCATGAGTGGGGGGAGGGGGCAATAGGGGAATAAGGACACATGTAACACCTTAATCAATAAAGAAATTTTTAAAAAAGGGATTTCTGAATAATAATAGCAACAGTGAATATTTACTGCTTGCGACAGGGCAGGCATTGCCAAGGGCCGCAGCTCATTCAATCTGCACATGACCTTGAGACGAGTCTTCCCTTACTCCACTTTGCAAAGTGCAGGGCCTGGTGTGACCTGACCGGGGAGCAGCGGGCTGGCGCTGAGGTCTGAGCGCCAGCCCGCTGCTCCCCGGCCTTGAACCCCAGGCTCCTCGACACCCTCTGGCACTGTCTATCCAGACGCTGCAGAACCAACGGCTGAACTATCCTGGCATCAGAGAGCGATTTACTGCGGCTGAAAATACAACCAAGTTCAAGTTTGTGCTCGGCGCACGTGGGCCAATAAGGCACGGGGACAGGTGTTGGGCAGGAAAGCCAGCGTGCCAAGAGGATGGTGGGTGAGCCGCCCAAAGAACTTCCTCATCAAAGTGCAGAATTGGGCTTTCTTTATGTCCAGAGGAGTGTTGGAGAGTGGGAATTTTTGCCCATTCCAGAGAGACGATGGGCCATGCCCCAGACAGAGTTGTCAGTGCTGACACCAGGCCAGGCCTTGAGATAGGGTCTTATGGCCCCTGCCCAGCACTAGGCCTTCTCTCATTGATCACTGCCAGCTCTCTGAGGAACAGCATGACCCTGAGAACTACATGGTCACCAGTGGCATGACTCTGACGTTGCTTGGGAAAAGCTGTTTTGTCTTGGGTTGCTTGCTCTGCAAAAACAGGATGTGGTAAATGTGCTTAAAAGAGGTCCCGCGCAAAGGGTCTCCCGGGGCTGCTCTCTGGACTCCCCGCGTGGAGAGCGGTTTCGGGGGGAGATCTCTGAGAGACGTTCCTCACCCCCGGGGCTGGTAGAGGTCGGAGTCCCCGCCTGCTGAATGTCCTGATGGACTGATCGGAGCCGCCTGGATCTGGTTCCTACCAGTAAGAAACTTATTTCTGGTTCTGTGGGCGCCCATCTAGGCTCTCTGGAAGGCTGGATGCAGCGCTACTTCCAAGACCAGATCCCGGTGCACGACGGTGCCCGGTGGTCCTGGTTGGTTGTCGTTGTCTTTGTTATTCTGGGTAACTGCGGTCTAATTGTCTCTGTCGTTAGAATGGGCCAGTCTGCTTCATGTTCTGTCTGTGCGCCCCTGCAATGTTTTTTGAAACATTTTCAGGAATTCAAGCAGCGAGCGGATGACTACGGAGCCTCCGTTGACGCTTTGATTTACAGGAAAGGGGAAGGGCTGGCTCAGGAGCCGTGTGGCGCGCTGGCCTTTTGGCCTCCAGGGAAAGGTCCGGGAGGAAAGGTCAGTGAGAGTCTGTGTGAAAGACAGTGAAAACCCTGCGTTAGGGGGAAGACAGTAGAGAACTTTTACTTGCTTTCCCTTGATTTACCATTTTGCTGCGTTCGTTTAAAAGTTTGGAATTCCAGGGTTAACTTTAGGGTAGAGGCGGTGGCGTTCACTCCCAGCCTGCTGAGGTAGAGGAGCCCCAGGCTGGGGGACCGGGATGGCTGGGGATGTCAGCAGTGGTGAAGGTTGAGATCTTCTGGGGCCTTGGGATAAAGAAGGAAAAGCTGGGAGGGAGAGAAAGCTGTCCCTTACGTGTAAAAAGCCTGGCTACACAGGATCTCAGACTGCTTGCCTTATCCCCCCCCCTCCCCCCCGCTAAGGACAGAGTAAATGGTTAATGCAGGAAAAAAAAAGGGGTGGGGGCGTCGTCGGGGAGAGCAGGGAGACCTACAACCCGCTCTGCTGGCGTCCTTGTTTCCTGCTTATCTGAACTATGCTGGACTCAAGGATTTTTGCAAAACACAGTGGGTCCGGACTCAGTGGCGGTTCATTCGTGTTGGCTCCACAGCAGGGAGGGGACACGGGAAGGACTGAGATCAGGAGGGGACAGAGGATCTCAGGCACCGAGGAGCCAGCAGGGGCCGGGAGGCGAACTTTGTTCTCGGGCCACAGGCTCCAGCGGCTATGGTTTTGGTTTCTGTGCCCCTATAAACCCTGGATAAACACTTGTTATTTTGGTACACACTTCCTTATCGCCCCACGGGAGGCGATTCCGAGCAAGGAGCTGCGTTTTGTTTTGTGCTGCTTTGGGCTTTCTTGTTTCTGTAAAACATAAGCAGAATTCCTCCCATGCTTGTTATGTCTGCGTTCAAGGATAAGCAGCTAAAGCCGGAGCAAGTGCCCTGAAGGCTACAGAAGCGAGGCAGGCCTGGCCAGGTGCCGTCGGAGCCGCCCGGCCGTTCCCGGGCATAACGGGGCAGCAAGAGCGAGGCTGGGTGGCTGCGTGGGCACAGGGGGTGGGCACCAGCTGGGCATGCGGGAGGCTTGCTCCAGTACCTCCGTCTGGGTGTGTTTGCGTTGCCTTCAGCTCAGCCAACACCACCGGGGCACACATGTCATCCCGCTGGTGTGCGGCTTGCCAGCCCTCAGGGGCAGGCTGATAAGGGCATCGCGGGCAGCTGTCTCCCAGGTCCCAGGTGACTTCCCCCTGGTCACCAGGCCCACCCCTTGGTCAACATGAAGGCGCTGGGAGATGAGATTAGCCAGGGAAAGGCTGTCCAGCTGCTCTCCGTCGATGCCCGGGGAATCAGGTGGCCTTCTCCGTGGTCTCCACACAGCCCTGCCTCCCAGCATCCCTCTCCCACGCTGGGGGGACTCCCGGGCACTCATCTTTCTGCGCCCCACTTCCCACAGCCCCACCTCTCTCTGGGCAGGTGCCCTTGGCTGAGCCTGGACTGGCACCGGCCGCACAGGCACCCTCTCGGGTCCCTTCCATCTTGTCCGCCCTCTGGCCCTCTGTCCCACTGAGTCCTGAGGGGGAAGGCTTAGCTGGTGCGTGTCACTTCCGGCAGGAGCGATGGCTCTCACATTTTCTCCACGCTGTCCGTCCTCCTGCACCCCCACAGGAGACCTTAGCCCCCTCCGGGTCCTGTGGGGTTAGGGCTTGACCAGCCTCATTCATTCGTGTCCGGCCTGTCATCTCACCTGACCCTCCCCACAGCCGGGCACGCTGGTCCCACACCAGTCACAGCGTCCCACCAGCGAGAAGGGACCCCCACACCCAGGAAGGTCAGCCCGCTAGCCGGCAGGGGCTTGGGCAGCCAGGACACCGCTGCCACCGGCTCCTGGCCCAGAACTTGCTGACCGCAACCTGGGCATGGGTGTTAATCATTCATCGCTCGTCAAGATTGGCCCCGTGGCCTGTTGACAGCAACAGGCACGCGGACGCCCTGTAATCATTAACGCTGCTGTCTCCCACGGCCTCCCGGGTTGTATCTGCTGTCACCGGGAGCCGGCCTATCTGTTTGCTCTTTAGACCGGGGCAGGTGAGCGGAGCGCGGGCACAGGTAAGCTGCGCCCCTCGCCGTCCTGGACCGGCGTGGGGGGCGGTTTCTGGGGGAGGGGGGACTGGGGCTCCTAGGAAAGGAGGGGCCTGAAACGGAGGGACTTGGAAATTCGTGGTGAAGACAGAGTGGAGGAAATGTACATCAAGTGCCCAGCATGGTGTCTGGCAGATGCCAGTGTAACCATGACATTGGCCATGGGCAATGCCGCTATTCTTCCTATGGCTGGTGGCCCGGGCTGTGACCCTCTCCCTGCTCATTCGCGCGCTCTCGCGCTCTCTCTCTCTCTCTCTCTCTCTCTCTCTCTCTCTCTGTCTCTCTCTCTCTGTCTCTCTCTCTGTCTCTCTCTCTCTCTCTCTCTCTGTCTCTCTCTCTCTCTCTCTCTCTCCTGCTCTGTTTTCCACATTCCTTTTCGTCTTGGGATAAGCTCTAGCTCCCTGCCAGACCAGCAGAGAATTAATCCTGAAAAGGAAGTGTCACTCAGCGCGCTTGGGGACCAGGGTGGGTGGGCGTTTTCCGTTCATGGGTGCCCGCCCGCCAGCGGCTTTGGAAGCCTGGGCTTTGCTCAGGGCAGCGGCGCCCGGCCCTGCAGGGAAGTGGGCACCATTGGCATGTGCCAGGTTTGGGCAAACAAGGCCGGCTGCTGTCGCAACCCTCTGTGGGGTATTGACGAGTCAGGGCCCGTTCTCTGCCTTTGGTCCTTCTACACAGCACCACCAGCACTGAGGCTCTGCCTTCACGCGTGGGACTCAGATCCGAGCTCTGCGACAGGCCGCTGAGTAAAGACACTTCGAGGTTCACTTGCTTTATTTATTCTTTTCTTTTCCCTTCCCTTCCTTTTCTTTCCCTTCCCTTCCCTTCCCTTCCCTTCTCTTCTCTTCTCTTCTCTTCTCTCCCCTTCCCTTCCTTTCCCTTTCTCTCTCTCTCTCTCTCTCTCTCTCTCTCTCTCTCTCTCTCTCTCTCTCTCTCTCTTTTCTTTCTTTTTGAAATGTTTTGATTGATTTCCAGAGAGAGGGGAAAGGAGAGGGAGAAGAGAGAGATATAGAAATAATGGCTGCCTCCTGTAGGCCCCCGCTCTGGGGAAAGAGCCCACAGCTGGGGCATGTGCCTGTGCCGGGAATCGAACCAGGGACCTCCTGGTGCAGCGGTTAGCACTCGATCGCTGAGCCACACCAGCTTTATTTCTAACAAGTCAGGCCACGGGTCAGGCACAGATGGCGCCCATGAGGGCGTCATTATGGGGCAGAGGCAATGGCTAACGGAGGGAATGCCCTGAGTATTTAACCAGCTTCGGCCCGGCGGCGCCCCTCCAATCGCTGGAGCGAGGTCTGTTCATGGAGCTGCTGAATCGCGGCAGGCGGGCCCCTGATGCGGGGATCCGGCGGTGAGTCCCTCAGGCCTGCGCCTTTGGAGCCGGCCACACGGGCAGGCCCTGGCGTCGCATAAGAGCTGAAAAGCAGCCATGTCAGCTGCGGATCCAAAAAGACGGGAAGCTCGGTTCTCAGAACCCCGTTCCCCAGCTTGCATTTATTTTGTCATGCTGCGTTATTTATCTGTTATTCTGTTGAAACCTTACCAGCAGTTGGCAAACTGCAGCTCGCTCTTTGGCCCCTTGAGTTTTTAGCAAAGGCCAGCTTAGGAGTACCCGAATGAAGTTAACAATGTACCTACCTATATGATTAAAGTTTAAAAAATGTGGCTCTCCAAAGAAATTCCCATCGTTGTCCTGTTGCTATTTGGCTCTGTTGACTGATGAGTTTGCCGACCACGGCCCTAGAGAATTGCTTCGAGGCAGTTTAGGGTGCTTTAGTCAAACACCAGGCGATTCCCCCTCCTTTTCCTCCCTGTCCGTGCTCGCTGAGTCCTCACAGTGTCCCCAGGAGGCAGACCCTGTTGTTATCCCCTAAAGCACTGTTTCCCAAACTTTTGACACATGTGTACCCCTTCTGTAATTTTCGTAACGCTGAGTACCCCTCGTACTCATGAGAATGTAGAATGAGGCTCAGCTAAGCACGGTGCAGTGCACATCCCCACCAAACTCCGGTGCAACGTGTATCCCCACTAAACTCTTCCAGTGCCCCTGGGGGTATGCGGACCACACTTTGGGAAACACTGCGCTAGAGAAATAGGTCCAGAGAGGTTAAGTAACTTCCTCCAAGTCACACAGCAGCAGACCCAGGATTTGAAGCCCTGGCTCTATGCTGCCTGGGCGCCAGCTCTCTGCACCTGGCCTTGCCCTGCGCAGACGGGCCGTTTCCAACCTGTGACGCGATGAGGTCATGCTCAGCTCCGGGGGGGTTGCTGTAGGGCGAGCTGCCTGTGGCTCCCCTGGGCAGTGGGTCCTCCCTGACTTAGCAAACCCCGTGCTTTCCCTGCTGGCCTGGGAATAGACCGGAAGTGGCGTGACCCCGAAGGAAGCGCAGCCCACCGCCCACACCCTTCCCGGTGCCGGCTCGCTCCCGTGTCTTCCGGGAGGAACGCAAGCCTCTGCCCACAGGGCTGCGGGCACACCTCCCCTCTCAGCTCCGTTCTGTGGGTTCCAGTAGATTGGATACTACCGTCTCCTCGTTTCTGACTGCCCCCTCTCCCCGTTTCCTCCAGCTCGGCCTCCTGGGCCGTTTCCCACCCCCACCTGCTCCTTCCAGGTTGGGGTTCTGAAGGGCCGCTCTCTTTCTCCACTCTCCCTGGCGACCTGACCCGTCCTCCCACACTGCCCACCAGCCCGGATCCCTCCCAGCACCCCTCTTCCTTCTGCACCCCGAGCGGTCCCTGCACCTGGGTGCCTCACAAACACCTCAGCCTCGGCCACAGCTGTTCCTGCAGCGTCTCCAGCCCAGTGAGCAATCAATCCTGGCAGTAATTAGACAGATGTCGGTAATTAGGCAGCGAGGCTGGCCTGGCCTCCCTGCAGGCCTGTTATCTAAACAAAGCCTCACCTAAGGGGAGAGAATGGTGACTGCCTAGATGGGTTGATAAGGAAACAGAGTGGCCTGACTCCAGGGGGACATTTAGTGTCACCTGTGCGAACGGCACTCTCTGGAGCTACACGGTGACAGCCACTCATGCACAGAAGCTGGATGGGGATGCAGCCCCGAGGCGGGCAGGGTGGCCATGGATGCCCTCGGCTGGCTCCTTTGCCCCAGGCCATCCCATCTGAGCAGTCTGAGTTCTCCCCTTCCCTCTCTGGCACCCCACCCATTCTGTGTCCCAGGCGCCTCTGGGCCAGGCACTGGGTCAGACGCTGTGGGCAGAGGTAATCAGCTGTGCCCCAGTGCTAGGAGTATATCGGTCAGGGATCCCCAGAGAACAAAACCCAAGGCTGTGTATCTGTATGTTAGATATAGTGGTGTGTATGGACAGAGGGAGAAAGAGAGAGAGAGAGAGAGAGAGAGAGAGAGAGAGAGAGAGAGAGAGAGAGAGAGAGAGAGAGAGAGAGGCATATTAAGGAATGCCTCACTTCATTGTGGGCGCTGGCAAGCCCCAAGCCCACAGGCAAGCCGGCATAAACATCCCAAGAGTCGCTGTTGCCATTTTCACTTGAATTTCTATGTTGTCCTCTCAAGGCCAAATCCCTTCCCCTTTGGGGCACCTCTGTGTTTGCACTTGGGGCACCCACAGAATCACGGGGGGCCACCCGCTTTATTTTAAGTGGACATTCCTCGTTTCTAAACCCCAGCACCAGCTTGCCCGCTCTCCGGGTGCCCAACCACATGGCCCAGCCTGGAGGAGGCAACCCCTCCAGAGAACCCCCAGGGCCAGGACACTTCCTGGGAGCTGGGGACACAGGAGAGCAGTCAGCAGGTAGGCCCAGCTCCGGGACAGGCTAGGGGAGGCCTGGGGAGGCGCCTCAGATGTGCCAGGGCGCAGGGCGCAGGGCGCGGAGCGGAGCCGGGAGCCTTGCAGGTGAGACAGGGAAGGAGGAGAGGACTCCGGCCACGGGGCAGCCCGAGAGCCCGAGGGGGCGGTCCAGCGAGCTGAGTGTCCCGGGGGTGCTGGCATGGGCAGGTGGCGTTTCTCAGGGGAGGACCTCGGAGGTCACTGCAGCCCTCCGGGCCACATTCCCGCCAAGCCAGAGCTGACGCTGTAAGAGTCGTATTCTTCCAGGGTTTTATCTTTAAATCTTTTTGGCTACTTGAGAACGTAAGTGCTTAATTCCTTTTTTAAAAAAAATTTTAATTTAAAGAAAAAGTGGAAACTCATTTTTCTAGCAGCAGAGGTGGGTGTTGTTTTGTTTTCCCCAGTGTAGACAGTTGGAAAGCCACAGAAAACAACTAAGAGGATAACTGGCTAAAATATCGGCCAAGTGGGAACAGCTGCTTCAAGGCCGTTCATTTTGTAAGCACGTACAGCTGTGACTGTCCTCTGCTGGTCTTAGCCCAGGCTGACGCTGCCTGGGACATGCCTGTATGCCTGTGAGTCGTTTGTGTGCCCGTGAACCATGTGTGCCCATAAACTGTCTGTGTGCCATGATCCACCTGCATGCCCATGAGCCATCTGTGTGCCTGTGATCTATCTGTGTGCCATCCATCTGTGTGCCCATGAGACATCTATGTGCTCTTATGCCATCTGTGTGCCTGTGATCCATCTGTGTGCCCTGATCTATCTGTGCCATGATCCATCTGTGTGCTCATAAGCCATCTGTGTGCCCGTGAGACATCTGTGTGCCCATGATCCATCTGTGTGCCCATGTGCCATCTGTGTGCCCATGAGCCATCTATGTGCTCATAAGCCATCTGTGTGCCATGATCCATCTGTGTGCCCATGATCCATCTGTGTGCCCATGATCCATCTGTGTGCCCATGAGCCATCTATGTGCTCATAAGCCATCTGTGTGCCATGATCCATCTATGTGCCCGTGAGCCATCTACACCCCTTTCCTAACGGTCTCTCCTAGTATGTAAGCTCCACACAGATATAGTGATGTGTATGGACAGAGGTAGAGGTAGAGATATAGGGCCTCTCTCTTTCTCCACTTTCCCTGGGGACCTGACCCATCCTCCCACTCAGTGCCTTGCTTGTCGCTGCATCCCCATCACCGGATGTAGGGGCTTAGTAAATGTTTGTTGAAGAAATAACTGACTGTATAAATATTTTGTTTTAAATTTAATTTTGCATTTAAAAATGCATGGGTGTTATTTAAGTACATTGTTTTAAGAGTGGCTATTTGCCCAGCCAGTGTGGCTCAGTGGTTGAGCATCACTGTACGAACCAAGAGGTCACGGTTCGATTCCTGCCCAGTTGTGGGTTCCATCCCCAGTAGCGGGTGTGCAGGAGGCAGCTGATCCATGTTTCTCTCTCATCATTGATGTTTCTACTCTGTTTCCCCCAAAATAAGGCAGTCTTATATTAATTTTTCCTCCCAAAGTTGCGCTAGGTCTTATTTTCAGGGGATGTCTTATCTTTCCATGCACTAGGTCTTATTTTTGGAGGATGTCTTATTTTCGGGGAAATACGGTATCTCTCTCCCTCTCCCTTCCTCTCTGAAATCAATAAAAATATATGTTTTTAAAACAGTGGCCATTAAGAGCACATCTATTTTTAATGGTGACTAATGCACATTCTTTCACAGATCTCCCCCTTCTTGCCAAGTGAGAGAAACCCTGAGCATTTCCTCAGGACAGTAACGTTCTCTAAGGTCACGTTTTAAGTGCTCCGTGCGTTTTATCCGGGGAGGTACCGCCGTTTATGGAAACCCGCCCCCCCCATTCCGTGTCTTTTCCTATTGCGAGGGCCATGTTTTCTAGGAAATAAACGCTTGGGTGCCATTTCTGGTGAAACCTCGGTGCACAGTGTTTACTGTTTCAGGATGAGTGTCTGCAAACGGAGTAGCTGGGCCAAAGGTCCTAACATTCCCTGTCTCCAGAGTGGCCGTCCCACTCCTTGGCTCTGTTGTACCCGAGGTCTGGGTGGCCATGTGGGAACTGTTTCCGGCTGGATGGGGGCGGGACCGCTTCGTTTTCATTCCCCAGCTTTTATTTTCACATCCTGGGGCCAGGAAAGCCAGTGCTCACAGCCTGTGCCAGGCGGGCAGGACCGCGTGGACAGGGTGTTCTTGGGGAGGGAGGCCTGTGTGCAAACGCCGTCCAGCCAGCATTGCAGGCACAGACGCCATCCACCCAACCACCTCGCAAACGGAGAAACTGAGGCCAGACAGGAGCAGGGGTGCCCGGGAGCAGGGGTCCCCGCACGGCTGTCTCCACCAGCACCCCTCGCTGACTCCCCTGAGGTACCTGTCTCTGACAGCAGCCGTCCAACGCCTTCTTCCGTCGTCTTCTTCCTCAGGAACAAAAGGAGGCCAGTCCCAAACCCCAGAAAGGAGCCATGAAGCTGAGTGACAAGGGCCCGGCCGCTGACAAGGACAGCGATTCGGAGGAAAAGAAATCGGTAAGTCCTGGCCCCCTTCCCTCTTACAGGAGCGCCCGGGGACTCTGGGGCTGTCCCTCCCTGCCCCTCCCGCCCGGGGACATGCAGGCTAGGGGGGCGAGGGGGGGGCACAGAGGCGGGGGAGAGAGAGGAAGTGGTGGAGCGGAATGGTCAGGCCAGGAGAGCAGAGACTGGGTGCACTGTGATGTGGGAAGGACCATAAAGTGTGTGCGGTGAGGCACAGGCCTTGGGGGGCTGGTACTTCGGTGGATAAAAATCCTATCTGCGGGTGACTTTCCGGATTTGGAGGAGGGAGGTATCTCCATTTCCCCTAGGCCAATGGTCGGCAAACTCATTGGTCAGCAGAGCCAAATACCAACAGTACAACGATCTCACATCACTAATGTTTCTATCTCTCTCCCTCTCCCTTCTTCTCTGAAATCAATACAAATATATGTTTTAAAAAGAGTGGATAGAGCGTCAGCCTGCAGATTGAAAGGTCCCAGGTTCAATTCCGGTCAAGATTGTGGGCACATCCCCAGTACGGGGTGTGCAAGGGGCAACTGATTGGTGATTCTCTCTCATTGATGTTTTTAACTCTATCCCTCTCTCTTCCTCTCTGTAAAAAATCAATTTTATATATATATATATATATATATATATATATATATATATATATATATGCCTCACCGCATACACTTTATGGTCCTTTCCACATCACCGTTCATCCAGTCTTTTGAGAGCTACATTTTTTTTAAAAATATATTTTATTGATTTTTTACAGAGAGGAAGGGAGAGAGATAGACAGCTAGAAACGTCGATGAGAGAGAAACATCGACCAGTTGCCTCTTGCACACCCCCCACCGGGGATGTGCCCGCAACCAATGTACATGCCCTTGACCGGAATCGAACCCGGGACCTTTCAGTCCGCAGACCGACGCTTTACCACTGAGCCAAACCAGTTTCAGCGAGAGCTACATTTTTTAAACTTAAAGTATCTAGGTACATTGTTATTAACTTCATTAGGGGACTCCTAAGCTGGCCTTTGCTGAAAATTCAAGGGGCCAAAGAGCCGCTTGTGGCTCGTGAGCCGCAGTTTGCCGGCCGCTGCCCAAGACCAAGGGGACATGGATGTGGAAAGGGATGATGGCATCATCCTTCAGGATAACACTGTAGCCTGTCCCCCACCCACCGCAGGCCCAGGTCACTGCCCCCTCCTCCAGGAAGTCCTCAGCACTTAGAGAGCCCTCTCCCCGCTCCTCGGAACTCCCTGGGCCCTCGCTCTAAACCAGATGCAAACGCCAAGAGCCAGCCTGCACGCTCTCTGTGCTGGGCCTGCACACGCAGGGTCCCCTCGCTTCTCCTGGCCGCACCAGGGCGAAGGCATCGCCACCCGGGTGTCACCGGCGATGAAGCGAGGCTCGGCGAGGGCCGAGGCCACCCGCCCGAGGCTGTGTAGCACCTTCACGGTGGAGCCCGCCTCAGACCTCCACCCGTGCGTGCCTGGTCTCCTGGGATGGGTGTGGGAGCTACCGGACCCGGAGGAGAACAAGTCCACGTTTCTACAGAACCTCTACTTGGCAGGGCAAAGGTCAACGTGAGCCCGGGAGGTGTGAACTGGGCAGGCTGGGCGCCGCTGTCCTCACCTCGCAGGTGTGAAGGGGAGGCCCCCGCCCAGGCCGTCCAGCGTCCTGCCGCAGACGCTCCCTCCAGGTGGACACGGAGGCTTTTCTCAGTACAGGGCTGAGCCATGCCTCCCCTGTGCAGGCACCGGTCTGAGGTGCTTGCCTCCCTCCGTAGGCTCCTGCCACACCCGACTATTTCCCTCCCCCTAACACTCAGGCCTTGGGTCAGTGCGCTCCCACACCACACCCTTCTTGGCCAGCATACCCCCCGGGTGAGGTGGCCCAGGAGCCGCCTCTTCCAGGAAGCCCTCCATGATTCAGCCCCCGACTGGCTGGCTCAGCACTTCCTCTATGTCTCCCCGGGGAATTCTCAGCCATTGTGTTACTTACGTGTTGTAGCTCCAAGTGTACGTGTCAGCATCCTGCTCTGGACCACAGCTCCGCCTTGATGGGGGAGAGGGCAGGTGGAGGGGGGCAGGGGGCACTGCAAATCGATTCCAGAAGATCCGGTTCTCCCCCGTCTCCTGGTGGGATTGGTGTGCGGAATGGCCGCTGCGCTGTTCCATGTGCTCAGGGAGCCGCTCTCCTGCCGGCGAGGGCTGGCTGGTCCCTCGGGGAGCCCTGGCTCCCCGCTGAGCGGCTGCTTCCCCGGGTTGTGCCTCCTGGGCTGGATGTCCGCACACGTGTGTGACACAGCACCTTCCCAGCGCGTCTGCCGGCTCTGCGTCTGACTCCAGTGTGCGCTTTCCCTTTAGCCCAGGCTCCTGGCTTTTTGTTTTTAATTTTTTTATTGATGAAGGTATCATATATTTGTCCTTATCCCCCCCATTCCAATCTTCCACCTCTCCCCACTCATGCCCCCACCCCCCTATTGTCCTCCACCACTGGTGAGGCTCATATGTATGCACACAAGACCTTTGGTTGATCTCTCCCCCCCTTTTTAAAAAAAAATATATTTTATTGAGTTTTTACAGAGAGGAAGGGAGAGGGGTAGAGAGCTAGAAACATCGATGAGAGAGAAACATCGACCAGCTGCCTCCTGCACACCTCTACCGGCATGTGCCCGCAACCGAGGTACGTGTCCCTGACCGGAATTGAACCTGGGACCTTTTTTGTCCGCAGGCCGACGCTCTATCCACTGAGCCAAACCGGTTTCGGCATGACCTCTCCCTTTTATCCCCACCCTCCCTCTGAGGTCCAACAGTCTGACCCACGGCTCCTTATCTCCGGGTCTGCTCTTGTTCGTCAGTCTATGCTGTTCATCGTTCTCACTCATTAGATGAGTGAGATCGCTGCTGGCTTCCTGTCTGCGGGCTTGAGGCCGCCCTGGCCTCCGGGGACTCTTCGTCCCCCAAACACTCCCTGGCCTCAGCACTGGCTCCGCCTCTGGGAGCACAGGGCACGGCGGCCTGAACAGGATTTAAAGGAGCTTCTCTGACTTGGGGCAGATCGGCCACAAGGAAAACGAAGTCTCACACTGTCCTCGTGTGCATGAGGGCCTGGTCACCAGAACGCTGCCCCTGAGCCCGTCGCGGGGAGGGGCAGTCACGAGGGAGGCCCCTCCGCAGCCATGCTGAGTGACGGGATGGGCGATGAGCCCAGGACCGATTCTCTCCTTCCTGCAGGTTGAGAGCTGCAGGTGGCCATGCCCAGCTGTGCACAGGCTTCGCGGCTTCTCTCCGGCCCGGAGCACCTCTGCAGGACAGTCAGGGCGAGAGAGCCTCCCGTTGCCGCTTGGAAACGGGGTGGCTCGGAGAAGCAAAGCCCTTTGTTGAGGGCACGCAGTCATGACAGGCCGTGTGTTCATCTGTGCCAATGGCATCGAAAGGGGGAAAGGGGGCCGAAACCGGTTTGGCTTGGTTGATAGAGCATCAGCCTGTGGACTGAAGGGTCCCAGGTTCAATCCAGTCAAGAGCATGTACCTTGGTTGCAGGCACATCCCCGATGGGAGGTATGCAAGAGGCAGCTGATTGATGTTTCTCTCTCATCGATGTTTCTAACACTCTATTTCTCTAACTCTCCCTTCCTCTCTGTTAAAAAATCAATAAAATATATATTTAAAAAAAAAAAAAAAAGGAGGGAAAAGGGGCTGGAGTCAGGCTTGGCTTCCCACTGGGCTTCCATGGCAACATCCATTCGTCCACCGGTCCCAACCCTCAGGGGAAGGGTGGGAAACCTTTTCCCTGCCGAGGGCCCTTCGGATATTTATAAAATTCCCCGGCCATACACGATTATCGTTTTAAAAATCAGCCTGCTCTGTTTGTCCAACATTTCACCGGCTCAGCCCTCAGGCCTTGGCTGGGCGGGCCACCTGATTACTTGGGCCTTCCACGCCTGTGGACATCCCCACCCCTGCCCGAGGGGCCGCCTGGCTCTGTGCTGGCCTCCCCCTCCCTGCACTGGCCTCGCCTTGCCTCGTTAAAAAGGAAAATCCACACCCAGGGGTGATCCTTGAGAAGACAGGTTTCCAGCTGCGGTTTTAACTGGGGATCAGGAGAGAAAAAAAATTGCCCTGTTCAAACAAGAGAATTGCTACACTTCCGGCCGGGCCGCCCCTCCCATGGACTCTGCCTCCTGGCCCGCGGAGATGCCACGGGCACTGCAGGGAGCGGAGCATGGACTCCCAGGAGGAGCCCGGCTCAGCGCCCCTCACTCGGGACTGTAGCTGGAGGAGCGGGAAGCCAGGTGGAAGGAGAAAGCAGGTAAACAGACGTGGGCCTCCGTCCCCCCACAGAGGGCTCGGGGTTCCCGCGAGGGTCGCAGTGCGTGCCTGTTACTGCCTGCCCCTGGGCACGGGGCTCTGCATCCCGTCTGGGTGACTTCGGCCATCGGCGCTCCAACCGTGTGGCCAGTGTCCTGGGGCCGACAGCACCTTCTGGTGGTCACTGGGCTCGTGTAACGAGACCTTGCTGGGCAGTGGCCCTTTTATCCTTCCCTGTCTCCACAGCAGCACCCTCTGCCCTGGGGCCGTGGTGAGGGGGTAGTGGGCCCCGGGGGGCACTCGGGCGGGGGGCTTCGGGAGATGGCTCCTTCTACCCTCCTCCCCCCTCTGACGGTGCAGACAAGCAGAAGTGATGGTGGGGGGAGCCAGGAAGGCCCAGGGAGAGAAGGTGCCCAGCATGGCCAGGGTGGGGGTTAGGAGGTGTAGCATCCGCGCTGAGACCCTAAATGTGAGTTTTACAGACAGGCAATGGAGAATGGTGTTCTGTCCTCAGTGATTCTGTCCTGTCAATGGATCCCGTTATGTTCAAGCAGCTCTTACTGCAGAAAAACAGTCGTCCCTGTGTATCCACGGGGGTTTGTTTAGGACTCCCTCCGACACCCACATCCGCAGATGCTCCTGTCCTTTATATGAAACTAGAGGCCCGGTGCACGAAATTTGTGCACATGGGGGGTGTCCCTCAGCCCGGCCTACGCCCTCTCATGGTCTAGGAGTCCTCGGGGGATGCCCAACTGACGGCTTAGGCCGGCTCCTGGTAAGCCAGCAGTCAAACATCCTTAGCGGTGCCACGGAGGCGGGAGAGGCTCCTGCCGTTGCTGCTGCACTCACCAGCCATGAGCCCGGCTTCTGGCTGAGTAGTGCTCCTCCTGGGGAAGCGCACTGACCACTAGGGGGCAGCTCCTGTGTTGAGCATCTGTCCCCTGGTGGTCAGTGTGTGTCATAGCGACCAGTCGTTCTGCTGTTCGGTCAATTTGCATATTAGCCTTTTATTATATAGGATGGCATAGCGTTTGCATATAACCTACCCTTACTCTCCCATATGCTTTAAATCATCTCCAGTTTACGTGTCATACCTAACACAGTGTTCATGTGATGTAACTAGTGGTTATACGACGGCCTGGGCGAGTCTATGTTGAAGAAGTGGCATTAGAAGTTTAAGTTTAAAAAATGTGGCTCTCCAAAGAAATGTCAATCGTTGTCCTGTTGGTATTTGGCTCTAATGAGTTTGCCCGCCACTGGGCGAGGGAATGGGCCCCTCCCCTCCGCCGGGAGCAGGGTGTGCACGGGTGTGTGCATGGGTGTGTGCACGGTGGGTGCCTCTGCATGGCCGGCAGGGCCCTGACACTGCGCCCAGAGGAAGAGGCAGGAGGGTGACCATGGGGGGCTGAGCCAGACCCCCAGACAGCTCTGCCTGTCCCCTCACCTATGCAATCCGGATAAAACGGCGGTGACCTGTGAGTTCCAGGATATCGTTCCAAGAAGGCACTGACGACAAACCTGCCCGTGGCTCCCAGGAAGGGCCGGCTGCTGCTGCTGGCGGCTGTGTCTGGTCATGCTCTGTGCTCCCCTGAGGGCCAGATATGGGCCACGTTACACTAAAACTGCCACGTTTCCTCTCCTCCCCAGAAATGGTCCCTCTGGCTCGTCGCGGCCTCTCTCCTGGGCGCCTTCGGCTCCTCCTTCCTGTACGGGTACAACCTCTCTGTGGTGAATGCCCCCACTCCGGTGAGTGCCCCCCGGCCATGGGATGCACCCTGCAGGGGGCGCTGAGGAGGTGTGGGCAAGCCGAGTGTTACCCCCTGAGCGGGTGGTGCCCGGTGCTGCAGGCCTTTGCAGGCAGGTTCTGTGCCAGCAGGAGGTCTTCTGGGGGGACTAGACAGGGGCACCGGCCCCCGCCTTGGAAGGGGAGGTGGAAGATACAGAAACAGAGGATGGCGATCCTATGTGGGGCTGGAGTGGAGTGACCTGGGAGAGTGCAGGAAGAGGAGGGGGCCTCCGGAGGGGCTGGGGCAAATCCCCAGAGTCTGAGTCCAGGGCCATAGTCAGCAAACTGCGGCTTGTGAGCCACATGTGGCTCTTTGTCCCCTTGAGCGTGACTCTTCCACAAAATACTACGGCCTGGGCAAGTCTATTTTGAAGGGGCATTAGAAGAAGTTGAAGTTTAAAAAATGTGGCTCTCCAAAGAAATGTCAATCGTTGGCCTGTTGGTATTTGGCTCTGTGGACTCATGAGTTTGCCGACCACTGGCCCAGGGCAAGAAGCACAAGTCTGAGGGGCCACCGAGGGGCCGCTTCTCCTCCTCTGTTCTGTGTTCATGTCTCTTCACCGGAGTGAGAGGGCACCAGGGAAGCTGCGGGTTAACATCCAGGCTGCCCTTGGTTTTCCCTGGACCGGGGCCAGCAGGTGCCGTGTCTCCAGGCCCCCACACCGCCCTGCTGCTGGGCAGGGCCATGTTTGCTTCTCACCTACCTGGGCCGTGAGGGTTCGGTGCCCCCCATTCCTGGGGTACTGGCTTCTCCTGGGCCTGCCGCCACCCTTGGGGCAAGGCGGGTGAGTGTGAGGGAGGACCTCCTGGGGGAGGGGATGCTGTGTCTTGAGGGTGGAGCGAAGGCCCAGCGGCCGGGGATGCGGGAACGCTGCAGGAACCAGGGTGACGTGGCCGAGGCCAGGTGTGTTTGGAGCGCGTAGGGCGGGAGCAAAGAGGCAGCCAAGACCCAGGCTGTGGCATTTTTTTAAATGTTTATTGTTTAAAGGATTACAGAGGTCCCTATTTTTCTCCATTCACCTCCCCACCTTTTTTTTTTAATTTTTTATTTTTTTCCTGATAACTCTGTAAGGTCATTAGAAAAACTGATTCTGATGCTGAAAAAGGTTTGCAGGCCAGGGGGTGGGCATGGCCCCCCTAAACCTCACAGCGTTCGGTGGCTTTGAGGAGGTCCTTGGGCCAGCATCCTGAGAGGGGGTCTGATTGGCCCGTGCCTGCCTTTCAAAGAGGCCTGGGAGTCTGCCTCCGGCTCCCTCTGGAAAGTTGGGCTGAAACTCAGCGGAGGGGGGGACCTTTGCACTCCTGGCCGGAGGAGGGCGGGCAATGCCTGAACCTGGGCTGGAATGACCTGGGTGGAGCAGTGACCGTGGGAACATGAGCAAGGGGCAATGCCGTCATCGTTTCAAAATTGGGGTTTGGTTTGTTTGTTTAATTCTCACCTGAGGATATCTTTTTCCATTGATTTTCAAACAGAGTGGAAGGGAAGGAGAAGGGGAGGAGAGAGAGACGCATACATTGATTGGTTGCCTCCCACATCCACCCCAATGGGGCTGGGGATCAAACCCAGAACCGAGGTACATGCCCTTGATGGGGAATCAAACCCACCCCCTTGGATCCACAGGCCAACACTCTAACCACTGAGCCAAACCACTCCAGGCCAAAATTGTTTTAGTGAATAAAGTTTATTTTCGAGAGCAGTTTTAGGTTCACAGCAAAACAGGGCAGAAAGTAAGATTTCCCGTGTACCCCGTGGCCCCGCCACACACTTACACACAGCGTGTGTGTGTGTGTGTGTGTGTGTGTGTGTCCCCGGTGCACAGTTCCCACAGGGCGTTGCGCGTGCTACAATCTGTGACCCTGTCTTGACTCATCAAAGTCCGTAGTTCAGGGTAAGGTTCCCGCGTTCTGTGGATTTTGACAAATGTGTAACGACCTCTGTCCACCAGTGAAATAGCTTACAAAATGGATTTCTTCCATTTTTAAGGCTTTATCTAAATATTCTCCCCTCCCCTAGATTGTTTATATATCCTTTTTTTTTTTTTTTTTTACTTAATACTTATATCATCAGCATTTTTCCATGTTGTTGAAAATCCTCCTTCCCAAGATTTTTTATTTTTTATTTTTGACTAGTAGCCCTGTGCACGAATCTGTGTGCCAGTAGCTCTCTGTGGGGTCTGGTCGCTCTGTGCCCACTGCCCAGTGGCTCTCCGAGGCCCAGAGGCCCATCAGCGGCCAGGTGTGGAACGCTTGCCTTATCACCGGAGCGATGACACAAGCATTCCCTGCCCTACCCCCACCCCCTGGACACTCGGTGCCCGCTGCCCAGAGGCCCTCCGCGGTCAGGGTGGAACCCTCTTCTCATCGCCGTAGCAACAAAGCAAGCAGTCTGCCAGGACTCATGTGCCCGCTCTCAGCAACCACCCCCACCCCCACACTGGAAATGGGGGACTCCAGCCGGGCTGAGAGGACTGGGCACCACCATCTTGTGGCTATGGGTGCTACCATCTTTGTGACGGAGTGATGGCTAATTTGCATATTGCCTTTTTTATTTGATAGTATTTCAGGAAGGAAGGGGGAGGGAGAGAGAAATAGAAAAATGAAATGATGAGAGAGAATCATTGATGGGCTGCCTCCTGCAAGCCCTCTATTGGAGATGGAGCCCGAAACCCAGGCATGTGCCCTGACAGGGAATTGAAACTTGGCCTCCTGGTTCATGTGATGACACTCAACCGCTGAGTGATGGGCTGGGCCAGCCCCGGATTTCTCAGTCTCCCCCCTGCCCCCTGCCCCCCTCACCTTCCTATGTGGCCGCTTAGGTTGCTGTCAGTTTTTCTCAAGTATGCAATGCAGCTGCATTGTTTAAGTTGGAGCTGTGAGTCATGGTTCGGTTGGGTTAAGTTGGTTGGGATTGGAGCTGGTAGAGCTGCCTCTGATTGGGGAGATGGGGAGCCCCTCTCCAGGTGCTGGCATGTTGATGATAGACTGTGGGTGCTGCCCTGCCTGCTTCCCCCTGGGGGCCCCCAGCTTAGTGGAGCTGGGAAGCCTGCCTCTGGAGTTCAGCATGCTCTCATTTCACAAGTCCCTCTGGAAAGTGCCTTTGTTGTGCCTCATGGGAAAGCTGGGGGAAGCCCTGCTGAGCAGGGTGGGGCCAAGGGGGCTGCTGACGGACATGTGGAGCAGAGACTTAGCCAGCCTGGCCCTTAGCAGGCACTTGCTGGTGGGATCACACCCAGACAAGCAGAAACACGCTGTTCCTGACCTGTAGGAGAAAGACATTGGGATTTGCTGAGCACCTACTATCGGCTGGGCATCATGCCAAGGGCCGCACATCTCATGTAACTCTTCTAGAAGTCCCACCTGCAAGCCACGGTCATGATTCCTGTTCTACAAAGATGTTCTTCTCAACCAGTGCTCACACCCGCCCCCTGAGCGTGGGCTGAAGAGATGGATGCCCCTTGAAGGTCTTGCCGCCTCCAGGCTGATCTGAGCGCTGCGAGCAATTTGCACAGGAATCAACACATTCGCCCTTTTGGTCCCCACCAGCCCTCCAGCAGCCCCATGGGAGGCGCAGAAATGCTCTCAGAGCGAAGGGCAGGTCCGTGTGGATGTGCTCTCCACCCCCCACGCAGCTCTGCAATCTTCCCGGGGAGTGTCTGGCAGGAGTGAGGCACAGGATTGCTTTCATTTCAATAAGAAGGCTGTTTGGAACACACCGGTCTGCCTGCCTCTGCCTGGAGCCAAGGAGCAAATGGAACTTTCTTCATGTTCTGGAGCAGGAAACCCTCAGGCCATGGGTGGGGAGGGAGGGCCCAGAGCTGTGCAGGTCCATCCCTCCCAGCATCCTCTCAGCACTGAGAGAGCCAGCAGTGGGAGCCAAGCGTCCTCAGCTGCCTGGAAGTCTAGAAGCTTCCTTTCCCACCTGTCAGTTAGCCCAAGACCCCGGGAGCCACCCGAGGACCTGGGAGGCGTGTCAGGTTTGAGACACCCCCAGTCTGATGCCAAATCAGGAGACTCATGGGACCAGCACAGGCAAGCTCACAGCTGTGACTTAATTCAGTGAAAGGATGAAGACAGAATCAGCAAAGGGAAAAGGAGTGGGGATGTGGGGGCGGGGGGTGTGAAGCCAGCAGGAAAGTCTCCACCTTCTCGGGGCGCTCCCAGCAGAGGCCCCCGGCACACACACACAGCCCCTGGAGCACACTTGATCTCCCAGTGCACACTCATGCATGCCAGCGCCCCTCCCCCCCTCCCCCCCCCCCCCCCCCCATTGCTGAGCTGGGACAAAACTCATCAGGTGTCCCGGGAAGCTCATCTGAGACTCCAGGGCTTTTGTTAGGGGCTCGGCATGTCCCCAGTTCTATCTCAGAGGTGATCAGCCTGCGCCAGGCTGTGCATAGGCCAGGCTCAGGAGCCACTCTGCTCGGTCCCAGGAATGGTGGGGGCCATCCCGAACCCACAGTCCCAGGAGCCAGCCCAGGGCCACAGTGCCAACGGTTTTTCAGGAGAGCAGCCCAGGCCGTGTTTCAGTGGGTGAGGACAGAGCTCTGCCAAGTAGGGACCTTCAGTGGCACTGCAGGGCTCATGGGATATTGTCCGTGTGGCCCTCATTTCCCAGATAATGCCAGTGGTATTGATCTGGCATCTAGAAGGGTCAGCAACCTGGAGAAGGCGCCATGCGTAAATTAAGAGTCCAGAGACGAAACATAATTTTGAAAGGCATTATAGGGAGTCAGAGAAGACTTAGCTAAAGGAACTAAGTTCTCTTTGTCTCAGGACCCCTTGCTTTTTATTAACACATTTTTTCCTAAGGCAAGGTGGAGATATATACACAGAAAAGGGTAGGGTTTACAGAATCCATTGTCAGATTGGGGAATTGCTTCTGGCTGTTCAGATGTTTGGCCAGTAGGAGGCGATAACATGTACATTAAGATGCCCTGAGCTGTCTGGCAGCAAGCTATGATTTTATGCACCCTTTTCAGGTTTGGGGAAATTCCTTTAGCCATTCCCAACAGGTTATAACATATGTGACTCGGCCCTTGTTGAATCCCCAAGCTCCATCAGCCTTTTGATGAAACTCTTGCAATTTTGACATGCTGGAACTGGCTTGCAGCACCCAGAGCCTGGCTTGGGATAGGCACTCTCATAAGGACGCCCGTTCAGTTCTCCTGGTGGTGCAGGCATGTGGCCTGTCTTCACAGATCCCCCAAGCCTGGGCCGTGTTACACAGCCGTGTGTGCACTCTGACCCGGTCACAAAATTGTGTGCACTTTATAGCGCTCCTGAGGATAACTGTATGTTCGGAGTCACGACAGGTTCGGTGTGACTCAGCAAGGAACTGAACATCGTGAAACAGGCTACAGGATCACTCCCCTCCTCTGCCATCACCTGGAGGTGTCCTGAGCCGGTCTACCTGGCTGCAGCCTTCACAGTTCAACATGCTGCCATAGGCCTGGCCCCTGAGGGACTGGCTGGGGAGACAGTGGTAAATTATTCCTGGAGCCGATGGCCCGCACAATAGATACATCGAGGACCTTGACCTGACAGATACGGACATCCATGCCACCACCATCCACCCAGCTTCTGGCTCTCACTGTGCACATCTGTGGACCCAGCACTGCACCTTCTACTCATCCTCACATCAAACCCCCATGGCAACGCCTTCTTGGGGGAAAGGGTGTCCCAGATGAGGAGCCTGAGGCACAGAGAGGCCAAGTAACTTATTCAACATCACCCAGCAGAGAAGTGTCTCCTGGGGGCTGTGCTAGCTCTACCCAAGGCCTGGGCAGCCCTGCTCCATGCTCCTGTTTGACCCTTACAACAGCCCCACGATATCTGCATCTTCAGTCCCAGTGTACAGAGGAGGAGACCGAGATCCAGATGGTTTAAATGGTTAGCCAATCAAGATGCTGGGATTCATGCCCAGGTCTGTGCAATCTGAACCCACGACTTTTCCACAATGTCATCTGCTGGCTATGGCGACACTGATGGCTAACAGGGGGGAATCTGTGAACATCTCCAGGATGGAACCCGCTTGGGGAATGCAGGGCCGGGACCTCCGTCTTTGGTTCCCATTAGACTCACCCGTCCCCATCCCAAACCCCTGCATCAGCATTGATGGGGATAGACCTCATGGGCGTGAAGTGGCCCCTCATTGCACTGTTGGCTTGTGATGTTGAGCAACGTGTCATCAGCTTGCTGGTCACGTGACTTTCCCCTGCAGTCTGTTCGAGTCTTTTGCCCATTGTTAAAGTGGGTCATCTGTCTCCCCATTGGCGTGTCAGAGTTCTTCATCGACTGTGGATGCTGGGCCTTTGCAACAGATGCCTTGCAGATGTGACGTGTGGCCTGTCTTTCCTTGTTGTCACCGTGTCCTATGAAGCACAGAACACGTCAGTTTCGGTGACATGCACATGAGCACTCTGTTCTCCCCTGCTGGCTCGAGTTTTCTGGGTCTTGTGTCTTGGCTCATCCCAAGGGGACAGAACTTTTCCTCGAATATGAGGGATGTGCATGTTAAACACATTGCCCACGTGACCCTGCTGGGCACTGAAGTAGGAGAAGCCCAGCTGTCATGGTCGCTCTAGGGCTGGAGGCAGATCTGAGTCTGACTCCCAGGCTTGCCACTTACTAAGCAAGTCACATCGTCGCTCAGAGCCTCACTTTCTCTATCTGCAAAATGAGGTAAAAAATAGGGCCCATCTGCCCGGCTGGTGTGGCTCAGTGATTGTGGACCCATGAACCAGGAGGTCACTGGTTTCATTCCTGGTCAGGGCACATGCCCAGGTTGCCCAATCCCTGATAGGGGGGAAGAGGGGCAGAAGGCAGCTGATCAATGATTCTCTCATCATTGATGTTTCTGTCTCTCTCCCTTTCCCTTCCTCCGCCCTAGCAGGTTTGGCTCAGTGGATAGAGTGTCAGCCCATAGACCAATGGGTCCAGAGTTCGATTCCAGTCTAGGGCACATATTTGGATTGTAGGCTCCTTCCCAACCAGGGCCCTAATAGGGGCGTATGCAGGAGGAAACCAATTGATGTATTTCTCTCACATCAATGTTTCTTTCTGTCTCTCCCTCTCTCTTCCACTCTCTCTAAAAGACCAATGGAGAAGTATCCTTGGGTAAGAATTAATAAAACAAACAAATTAAAAAAAAAAATAGGGCCCATCCACAGACTTTGCCAGAAGGTTCCATGATGAAGGCTCAGGCAGAACAGGCCTGGCGTGAGACCAAGTGCGACAGCAGCTGGTGGGTTTAGCCACAGCTGCCCCGGGCGGCGGAGGGAGCAGGAGGAGTAACGGTGTGTTGTTTGCTTTCAGTACATCAAGGCCTTTTACAATGAGACGTGGGAGAGAAGGCACGGACACCCGATTGACCCCGACACACTGACGCTGCTCTGGTCGGTCACCGTGTCCATATTCGCCATCGGCGGACTCGTGGGGACGTTAATGGTGAAGCCGATCGGAAGGTTTTGTGGGAGGTCAGTGGGGGGCTGTCTGTGTGGGGGATCCCCTCCACCATATTCACAATGTACCTGTGTCCCATCAGGACCCCGCACACAACAAAATGCCGGGGAGTTCAGCTGGAGAGGCTTGAATGTCGGAAGGGCAAGGGGCGGAAATAGGGTCCCAGAGGCCATGGGACAGGGAAGCCGAGGACTATGGGTCGCCCAGCAGGTTGGGGAGGTCAAAACTCTACTGCCCCAACAGGGGGGGAGCCGGGAAGAAGCACCCTGGCCTCCCTCTCCTCCACCCTCTCTCCCCCGGATCTGCTGCCGGCACCTCCCATTGGTCTAACCCAGTGGTCGGCACACATGTGGCTCTTGGCCCCTTGAGTGTGGCTCTTCCACAAAATACCACGTACCCTAATTAAAGTTAATAACAATGTCCTTACCTATATAGTTTAAGTTTAAAAACTTTGGCTCTCAAAAGAAATGCCAATCGTTGTACTGTTGATATTTGGCTCTGTTGACTAATGTGTTTGCCGACACTGGCCCAACCCAAGTGGAAGCCAGAAGAACCAGGGGCTTTGTGAGTTAGGTCAGGAAGACCAGGCCCCGGGCACAGAGCGGGCCGAAGCCACGGCACACAGCACGTGTCTGTGGGACCATGCCCTGTGCTCAGAGCGCTCTGCTTTTGAAAACATCAGCCTCAGACAGTCTTCCGTAGAAGCCAGAGCCCGAGCAGATGGCACAGGAAGGGCCGCTGGGGCTGGGCTCGGGGTGCCATGGGGCCAGCAAGTGCTGCCTCCCCACCTGGGCAGGTGTGTGACGTGAGGCGGGCACCTCCCTCTCAGCCAGCACTCTCCCCACGTGTGTGGTCAAAGCCAAGGCGATGGCGGTGGCCTCAGCAGCATGGCAGCCACGAAAGCAAAAGAAAAGCTGAAGAGAAAACGCCTCGGGGAGACACTGAACTTCTAAGTGATGGTCCTCAGATCCTCGGAGACAGAGAGATCAGGTCACAGGCATGGGCTGTCATGCCCCGGCAGCAGCCGACTCCTGTTTGCATCACGATCGAGTGAGAGCTGGATTGGGGTCACGGCTCAGCTGGAATCGCCACTGGGGGGAGGAGAAGCAGCAGGCATTGAAGACGGTGACCGTCTGTCCCCCTCCTGCTACCTGCCAAGCTCCACAGACCATGCTTCCCACACGGGATACATTGAGGCCGCGCGAGGCCCAGCAGTGTCCCAGGGTCCGAAAAATGCACTTGACCCGAAATACAGATCTGAGTCTGTGCGGCCGCCAGCCTGCTCTTGCTGCCACATGGTGTCGATGGCCATGCTGCTTGAGGCCTCATTCTTCATCCCCCGGGAGGGCCGTCGAAGGAGGCTGAGCTCGGTGTGCAAGGCTGGGGTCAGGGCCAGCGGAGGGGGCTGGGAGAGAAGTTCAGGTGGAGCTGGGCATCCTGGGAGTCCTCGGCGTGGTCACCGTGGGCCCATCCCGCCCAGGGCACGTTAACCTCGTCTGTGATTTGGGAGAGGGGTGAGGACAGGAAGGTGTGAGCCGCCCCAAGATCTGGTCTCAGAGATGCAGGCGCCTTGTCTCCTGGCCTCTCTGGCTTGGAGAAGTCTGTCCACGGAGAATAGTTTCTAAGCCCCAGCTGCTCACTTGGGGCCATCCATCCTCGGCTTACCTGGCTCGAGTGATAGACCCCTTGTCCCTCATGAGACAGGACTATGGCCATGCTGGTGCCCAGGCCTGGCTGCAGGCCCAGCTCTGCGCCTGGACTCTGATACCCACGACTCGTGGAGACTGGGACACGTGTCTTAAAGTCTGTGCTTCCAGTGCACGGCCCCTCTGGATGCTCCGGTGTCACCTGCTCTGTGTGTATCTCCTCTGAGGCTTGTGCCCGTCTCTACCGCCCCCCCAGCCACACACACACACACATACACACACACACCCCTTTTCATACAGGTGGTTTCCACAGTCTCCCCAGGGCTGCACCTTGCTCTTTGCACTTCACACAGCGTGACTCAGAGACCTTTCCGTATCAGACTGCAGGGGGTTGTCTCTGACTCAGTGTCTGCAGGTGTGCGCTTGGCAGATGCATCGTCACTCACTTCCGGAGCTGCTGGGTCACAGGCACTGGGTCGCTGCCGTCATTTGCTATCAGGGACGGTGTGGCCGTGAGCAGCCTTTGATCCATCCTCACGGAGTGGCCTAGGTCAGTAACTCGGGGATCTCCAAGAGGATGCAGGAGGGGGAGGGGTAACTAGGGCAAAGTTGGAGAAATGTCTGATGGTGAACAGAGCTCTGGCTCCAAAGAGCAGTCACAAGCCCTGGAAAACACCCAGCTTTTTTTTAAATTATTATTATTTTTTTAATTGCTTTTTACAGAGAGGAAGGAAGAGGGATAGAGAGCTAGAAATGTCAATGAGAGAGAAACATCGACCAGCTGCCTCTTGCACACCCCCTACCGGGGATGTGCCCAGCCAAGGTACATGCCCTTGACCGGAATCGAACCCGGGACCCTTCAGTCTGCAGGCCGACGCTCTATCCACTGAGCCAAACGGGTTTCTGCATGCCCAGCTTCTTACATCCGATAACACCCTTGGCCACCTGTTAACTCGCTGTCTTGGGGGACAGCATCTAAGTGTGTGCCCAGCTCCTTGTCAGGGTTAACCTCTCTATGAAGCAGGAGTGGGGACGTGGCCCACCGGAGAGACTCATTGTGAGCAGAAGCAGAGCGACCCATGGAAAGAGCCCACAGTGACGTCTGTCCCAGAGCGGGGCTCGTGCAGGGAGTGAGGACGACCACGTTGCAGGCGAGGAAGGACAACGAAGAGCCATCCAGTGCGAAGCCACCGGCTCATAAAGCCAGAGCGGGCGCAGGAGCCCGGGCCCGGGCCCCCCACGGGTCATGCGGCCAAGCCACGGAGTCTTAGCAAAAACGTCCGCAAAACAGCGGGAACAGTCCCAGCACAGAGCGATTCGTGGGAGAGATCAGCAACCCCGGGGAGAACCCAGAGGGCGTGAGTGCCTGGCTCAGGATCACACAGCCAGAGGGGGCTTTGGGGGGGTGGCCGTGGGGACCCTGCTCCTGGAATGGAGAGCCCCATGGTCAGGCCTTTCCATCAAACCCTTCCTTTTATTGTAAGCTTGTTTCTTATTGGATGTATTGGGGTCATGACGTTGGTTAGTAAAATTACCGTATTTTTCGGACCATAAGACGCACTTTTTTTCCCCCAGAAGTGGGGGGAAAAAGTCCCTGCGTCTTATGGTCCAAATATAGCCTACACATATACTTTAAAAAAGAAGTTTTTTTACTTGCCCGGCTCTGTGTGGTCTCTGTGTGCTTGCCCGGCTCTAAAATGGTTCTAAATGCTGCTGTTTACTTTACAGGGTTGATTACATGTGTTTATGACTGTGATGTTGGGTTTTAATGCACATAAAATATTTTAGGACACTATTTGTTTCAGAATCTTTTTTTCTTCATTTCCCTTCTCTAAAAACTGGTGCGTCTTATGGTCCGAAAAATACGGCATATCGGTGCCAGGTGTCTGATTCTGCGGTATATTGTCCTGTGTGTCTGGCACCTCAAGTCAAGCCTGAACCCCTCCTTCCCCTCCAGGAAGTGCACGTTGCTGGTCAACAACTTCTTCGCGATCACGGCTGCGCTGCTGATGGCCTTCTCTCTCCGGGCGGGCGCCTTCGAGATGCTCATCGTGGGCCGCTTCGTCATGGGCGTGGATGGAGGTGAGGCTCCATGGCGGGAAGGGCGGTGACAGCTCCTGGGGCGCTGCTGACTCCCGTGGGGACACCAGCGCTCAGAGGCAGGGACAGGAAGTGGCTCAGGGCAGGGCTGTGTGTTCCATGGCCTGGTTCTGCCACGTACCTGGCTTCACTCCATCACCTGGTCTGTCAGTAAGGTCTTATCTTGCTGCATAGAAGCAAAAACTCAACCCGAGATGTAATGGCAGAAAGCAAATATAGTTTGCTGAGCCTGCAGCTCCGTGGGTGGGCCAGGGGCTCAGGCCCCCGCAGAGATGTTCTGTGTTTGCGGACGACTGTGCTGCCCACTCGCCCGGGGTGCGAGCCATGTCGGCTGCGTTAGGAGGTCCCTGGTGGACGGCGATGGCTGGTTCTAGGCAACCCAACACAAAGCGGCTCAGAGGTTGAATGGGCACCGACACCGAGTGGCCAGTAGGTACAGAAGATGGCTTCGGTGATTAAGGAAATGCACATCAAAGCCACGATGGCTGCTGTTGAAAAGTTTGTAATGCCAAATGTTGGTGACTACGTGGAGCAGAGGTAAGTTGGCATGAACGCTTGCTTAACTACTAGCACTGAACGTGCACACATTATGGTTACTGTGTACCTAACAGCTTACATACATACGTGTGCAATGAAAGTCTTGTGCCAGAGTGTTCATGGGTTACTATTGGCATTGACCCCAAACTGGAAAGTACGGAAGTGCCCACCAATAGGAGGGGAGATAATTTGTGGTATAATGTATACATTGGAATACTACACAGCAATGAAAATGAACGAATTATAGCTACATGCTACAACATTAATGTATATAAGTAAAAAGAGGTGAGACACATCCACACAGTGCACACCACCATCACCACCACCACCACCATCACCATCACCACCATCACCACCATTACCACTACTACCACAACTACCACTACCACCACCACCACCACCCACCACCACCACCACCACCATCACCACCATCACCACCACCACCACCACTACCACCACCATCACCACCACCACAACCACCACCATTACCACCATCACCATCACCATCACCACCATCACCACTACTACCACAACTACCACTACCACCACCACCACCACCACCACTACCACCACCACCACCCACCACCACCACCACCACCACCACCATCACCACCACCACCACCATCACCACCACCACCACCACCACCATCATCACCACCACCACCACCATCACCACCACCATAACCACCACCATTACCACCATCACCATCACCACCATCACCACTACTACCACAACTACCACTACCACCACCACCACCACCCACCACCACTACCACCACTACCACCACCACCATCACCACCATCATCACCACCATCACCACCACCATCATCACCACCACCACCACCATCACCACCACCATTACCACCATCACCATCACCACCATCACCACTACTACCACAACTACCACTACCACCACCACCACCACCCACCACCACTACCACCACTACCACCACCACCATCACCACCATCATCACCACCATCACCACCACAACCACCACCATCACAACCATCACCACTACCACCACCACCATCACCACCATCATCACCACCATCACCACCATCATCACCACCACCATCACCACCACCACCATCACCACCATCATCACCACCACCACCACCACCACCACCATCACAACCATCACCACCATCACAACCATCACCTGTAGCAGCACCACACCACCATCACCTGTAGCAGCACCACAGTGTCCCCACCCTAGCTACTTCCTCTTCAGTGAACTCCACCTCCCAGCCGCGCCTGCGAACTGAATGATTCCGGGCTTGTTACATGTTGGCGCTGTGTGCAGAGCACAGGCGTGGTGCTGGGTGCACGCTGCTCTTGTCCTGGGAAAGCAGAGGAAGGGCCGTGGCCAGTCCTCCTGGAGGACACGGCTTTCCGTGGCCTGAGGGCTCCTCAGAGGAGGAGCCAGCTCTCTCACAGTGCCCTGTGTCCTCCACAGGCATCGCCCTCAGCGCGCTCCCCATGTACCTGAGCGAGATCTCGCCCAAGGAGATCCGGGGCTCCCTGGGGCAGGTGACCGCCATCTTCATTTGCATCGGGGTGTTCACCGGGCAGCTGCTGGGCCTGCCGGAGCTGCTGGGCAAGGTAAGTGTGGCTCTCGGCCAACCACATCTGTGCTCACGTCACCACTTCGGCTCCCTGTGCCGCTGGCAGGACAGAGGGGCGTCCTCCCCTCCCCACAAAGCTTGTCCCTGTGCCTAGGAACTCCTGAGCACTCAGCTCACTTCAATACACTTCAATACGATTCCAATGGCAGCTTCAGTGCACGCCTCACCCAGGGCTCAAGGTTTGGGGATGCTCAGGGCGCTGTGCCCAGACCCAGCCTGTGATCAGGCGCCCCCTGGTGTCCGTAGCGGGCAGGAGCAGTTAGTTCATTCCCGATTAATTCACTCATTTGACACTTCTTGTGGCTGGTGCCTGGCACTGCTCTGGGCTCCATCCAGCGGAGAACAGCCAGACGGGACCCTGCCTCGTGTTCCTCGCTTGCGTTTCAGGGGAGGACACACACCTGAGACACAGATGTAGGAAGCTGGCTCTCGCGGGTGATGTGAGGCGGAGCACAGCGGGAGGGAGCGGGCAGGGAGCCTGACAGCGTGGCCTCGGAGGGAGGCCTCGGGCCTCGCATGCGGTGAAGCACCCAGCAGCCCAGGCAGGTCCCTGGGGGTGACGTCCTAACCCTTCCCCGCGATGCCTCCACCTGTGCCCTCACCCAGCCCGGCTTCTCCCGCTCCCTGCTGGTCTGGCCCATCCCCCTCCACGTCTCCACCTCATGCAGGGCCTCTCTCCTCCCCTGGACACCCTTCTATCCAACCCCTCCTTGCCTCGCCTCTGGGCCACAGCGGAGGACTTGCCTCCAACCATATCTGCCTCCCAGACCCGTATAATCCCAATCCACTCACTTTGCCCCCATCAAACCCAATGCCCTAGGCCCCACAGAGGTGGGTAGACAGAGTCCTTGGCTGCAGGGACCGTGCTGCTGGAGGGACAGATGGAGGGGACACGGACGCGGTGGCCATGTAGGAAGCCTGGGATCCAGGGAGCCGGGAGCAGCCCCAATGCAGCAGGCAGGGCCGGGGAGCCTTTCTGGAGAAGCAGGTGCAGACCTTGAGGGAGACACCGTCCCAGCAGAGCGAAGAGCCGGTGCAAAAAAAGTAAAACGATGGGGAGAGAGCTCCGCCCCTGGGGAACTGCAGTGGCCCAGAAAGAGCACCAGGGGGCAGTGATGAGAGAGCAGCCCCTCCCTGCACCTGTCAGCGCAGTCACAGCTGAGACCACCTCCCTGTACAGGTGCATTTGCGGGGTCACACCAACCGCCCCCCCTCCCCCACAAGGCACATGGCTGGCTGACGTGGAGGCCACGGAGGCGGAAAGCTGTGGACGCCTCCCTCTGCCATGCCCACCCTCCCCCTTTTCCCCCCAGGAGAGCACCTGGCCATACCTGTTTGGACTGATCCTCGTCCCCGCCGCGATCCAGCTGGTGTTCCTGCCCTTCTTCCCCGAGAGCCCGCGCTACCTGCTGTTTGAGAAGCACGACCAGGCGGCGGCCGAGAAAGGTAGGCCCTCAGCCTTTCCCACGCGGCTCCGGCAGCGCACAGGGTCAGGGCGCAGGGCGTGCAGAGACCCGGGCCGCCCCTCTCTGCAGGCGTGGCGCTGGGTGCCCTGGGGCACCCTAAGCCGTTTCCTCTCCCCCACAGCCTGCTCTGGCTGCCCGGAGAGGGGGCAGGCCACCCTGAGAGCCTGGCAAAGCCAGGGCAGAGCAGGACAGGACCCAGGGCTGCTCACGTCTGTGCCGAGGTGTCTCCATGGGGTGTCCCGGCCACAGAGATGACGGAGCACAGATTTCTTAGTGGTCACATGGGTTCGTCTGAATCCTGGGAAGATGAGCTCTGAGACTGTCCCCCCAGGTGTCTGCATTTCGGGGGGCACGGGGAAGGGGCCCAGAGGCCCTCCTGCAGAGAGTGGAGCTGGCTGCGGGGCGTCCTGACGCGTCCAGCGAGGACCAGCGGAGGCAAACGAGGTTCTCTGCACTGGGTGGGGAGCACTCCCTGGGTGTGAGTCAGTGAGTTAAACACAGCACAGCCACCCCGCAGCCCCCGGAGGCCTGGTGACTGCAAACTGCTCACCTGCCCGTGTAGAGACAGGACTTGGAACAGGGCACGCTCGGCATTGCTCTGGGGCACTGGGGGATCCTGGTTCTCTCCCGCCTCTTCTCCTGGCCGCCCCGCGACCCCAGGCAAGTCACCGCATGCTCAGGGGCTTTGCTTTCCTATTTTTATTTTTTAAAATATATTTTATTGATATTTTACAGAGAGGAAGGGAGAGAGATAGAGAGCTAGAAACATCGATGAGAGAAAAACATCGACCAGCTGCCTCCTGCACACCCCCCACTGGGGATGTGCCCGCGACCAATGTACATGCCCTTGACGGGAATCAAACCTGGGACCGTTCAGTCTGTAGGCTGACGCTCTATCCACTGAGCCAAACCGGTTTTGGCTGCTTTCCTATTTTTAAACGCTGTGGTCTCAGAGGCCCCTGCCAGCTCTGCCCCTGACGAGGCGTGTGTCTGAGGGCGGGACCGTCCCCGCGGGGCCCAGCGTCAGACACACAGACAGCTGCTCTCGGCTGACCAGCCCCGCCTGTCCCCGTGCGCAGCCTTCCGGACGTTCCTGGGCAAGGAGGACGTGTCCCGGGAGGTGGAGGAGGCCCTGGCCGAGGGCCGCGTGCAGAGGAACATCCTCCTGGTGTCCACGCTGGAGCTGCTCCGGACCCGCTACGTCCGCTGGCAGGTCATCACCGTGGTGGTCACCATGGCCTGCTACCAGCTCTGCGGCCTCAACGCGGTGAGCGTCCCGCACCATCGGAGGCGAGGGCTCGGGTGGGTCAGGCTCGGGCCCCGGATGCCCAGGTTCCAGTCCCAGCTCTGCGCCACTGGGCAACCACATCACCTGATCCTCTGTCTCCTCATCTGTAAAATGGGACGGCATAGCACTGAAAGAAAGAATCCAGGCCAAGTGTTCAGTGCAGCAGCTAGTGGGTTTGTCCCTAACTATGTGCTGCCTCGCCCTGTGATTACTTATCCCTGGGAATCCTTAAAAGCCTTATTTCTTCACAAAGCGGGAATTAGGGAGTCATCAGGAAGGAACACGGAGATGATTTAAACAAAGTGCTTGTAGCTGGGCCGGCCTCAGTGGGCGACAGGCCTGAGAAAACCTCAAGGCTGTAAAGAGTACGTTTTCTGGGGCCGGAACTGACAGAGGGGGGAGGTGGGAGGAGGAGGTCCCCTATGGAGCCACCCCCAAGCCCTCTGAGGAGCTCAGCCACCCCTCGCCTGCTCCAGAATGAGAATCTGGGAGTTTGAGGACAGGGAGGCTGCCATAAGATCATCATCATCATCATCGCTGCTCCTGGCGAACAGTGGGTTGCCACCAGGGTGGTGAGCTCCCCGTTCACGCAGGTGTGCAAGTCAGCAGGCCGGACCGGGGCAGGGGTGTGTAGGGGAGGTTTGGCACGGAAGCACCCAGTGCCCTCTGGGGTCAAGTACGTGCTCAGGGGAGCCATGGTGGGGCCCAGAGGTGACCTTCCAAGGCGCCCAGGTAACCAGCCCCCCTTATTGGCACAGAATGGGCATGAGCCCGCCCCCACCCCAGCAGGGCGGGTTTGGGGTGTTTGGGGCAGGGCTTGACAGGGGTGGGGCCAGCCAGGTCTGGGTCTCGCACAATTTTGAGGTGCACGCAGGTGGGCGGGGACCTGACTCTGGGTCATGTGGCGGGCCCCAGACTCTGACAGGAGGGAGATTTTCATATATATTTTACTGATTTTCTTCCACCTCTGATGCTTCTATTATAGAGAAAGGGCAAATAGCAATATTAAAATATTTCCTCTAATTAATCCCCTTTTAATGTGCACAAATTTTGTGCGCCATGCCACTAGTTACATATAAGTGGACTCAGGCAGTACCTGTCCTTCTATGACTGGCTTCATTCCACTTGTCCCGGGTAGACAGTTATTTCCGAGGCCCTGTCCTCTGTTCACGTCCTCCATGATTCACATACTGCAGGATTCCCTTCTTTTTCAAGGCTGACTGACTGGCTGCATTTCCTGATCCATTCATCCATCAATAAACCGTTAGGTTATTCCCACATCTTGGCTATTGGGAATGAGGTTTTGTCGAACACAGGAGCGCCAATATCTCTTTGAGGTCCTGCTTTCACCCCTTTGGGATAAATACCCAAACATGGGATCGCTGGATCAGATGGTAGTTGCAGTTTTAATCTGTTGAGAACCTTTCAGACTGTTTTCCATGGTGGTTACACCAATTTACATTCCTACCAACACCATGCAAGGGTTTCCATTTCTCTACAGCCTCACCAACATTTCCCCCTCGCTGACCGACTCCCCTCTTTCCCTTCGCTGCCTGCAGATTTGGTTCTACACCAACAGCATCTTTGGGAAAGCAGGGATCGCTCCGGAAAACATCCCCTACATCACCCTGAGCACCGGCGGCATTGAGACCCTGGCTTCCATCTTCTCTGTGAGTAAAGGGGCGGTTACCCCGAGAACTCGCAGGGGAGTCAGCGGGGCCGTGGGGAACCAGGTCCCACAGCGACGGGCACCCTCGGTCCCGCCGAGGGTGTGTGAATCTGAGGAGTGAGCCTGTCGTCCACCACTGATGCCTCACCGTCCAGAGAACGTCCTCGTCTGTTCTGCTTTCCCATTTTCCTCCTTTAAACAATCGCTCCCTCCTCGGAGCTCTTACCTCGTCACAGATGACAGCCGCCACCTCCCTCTGAGGAGGGGCGTATCTCCCTGGGAGTCCGGCCAGAGGCCCCGGGAGCCTAGGTCTGTGGTCACGACCTTAAAAACGTTTCAGACCATGCACTGTCATCTTCCCAGCCCAGGTAGGTAGGTGTTTGCAAGGCAGAGAGGAGGAGAAAGACATTCCCTTCGGTTCATGCAACGCAGAGGGGCTTCAACAATGAAACGGGTCTAAAATCCGAGAAAGCGCTTAGCGCTCTTTCTCAGACGCCAGCTGCAAAACAGATGTGTGGGGGGGCGGGACAGTGGGGCCTGGGGAGTCCCCATGGGGGGCGGGGCAGAGGGGCCCGGAGGGTCCCCATGTTTAAACTTAAACTTCTTTGAACGCCACTTCTTCAAAATAGACTCGCCCAGGCCGTGGTGTTTTGTGGAAGAGCCACACTCAAAGGGCCAAAGAGCCGCATGTGGCTCACGAGCCACAGTTTGCCGACCACAGGGCTAGGGCAAGAGCTTTAAGAGCTGACTTTCCCAAATTAAGAAGGGTGCAACTTGGCGACCATGAGCCTCTGAAGAGGTCCCTTTCCTCCAAAGGGCAGCAGGTGGGGCGTTCCCCTGGGGCTGCAGACGCCCGGGAAGACGGTTCCCAGGAGCCAGGACGGAGGGCTGGGCCCCGGCAGCCTGGCCTCCGGGCCAGCTGGCCCCGCTCCCGTCTGGGTTTACACTCGGGACGAAATGTCTCCAGGCCATTTTCGTTTATTATTTCTAGGGTTCATGAACCACCCTGGAATGAGGGTCCTTTCAATGTCACTTTTCCACTTCTCATACCTCGGGCCCCAAAGATACACGGCTCTCACACACATTCTTCTCTGACACACACATTGCCAAGCAAAGTTTGCGCTTCGAGGAATTATTCCTGCGTTTCCGTTTACAGAGAGCTGTCCCGGGTAGACAGTTATTTCCGAGGCCCTGTCCTCTGTTCACAGGCTTTAAAACTGTTCACTGGAAAATAGCCCTGGGCTTCTCCCAGACAGAAGTCCCTGCGAGCTACGGTGAAGGCGACGGGGACGGGAAACGGGCGTTTCCCTGCCTCCCGCTCTGCTGTCCGTGCTAGGACAGAGCTGACCGGCAGTCACCGAGCCGGTGCCGGTTCCCAGCCCCGCACCCCCTTCCCGTGCTGCTGCTCGCAGTAACCATGCCCTTTGACCCTGACCTAGGGCCTGGTCATCGAGCGCCTGGGGCGGAGACCCCTGCTCATTGGTGGCTTCGGGCTGATGACCCTCTTCTTCGGGATCCTCACGGTGACGCTGACGCTGCAGGTGAGAGCAGGTGCCGGTCCCGCCCTCGGGGGCTGGCTTTCGGCTTCGGTGCCTGGGGCCTGGGCTTGGGAAGGTGGCACCATCTGCAGACACGGCTCCCCGAGGGGCATCTCAGCCGGGAAGCTGCTGGGGGGGGGGGAGGGAGAGGTGGGTCCGGGCCTGGGAGCCCGGAGACCTGAGGGGCTGTGTGACGCTGGGTGAGTTGCTTCCCCTCTCTGAGCTCTGTTCAGCCCTCTGTGGGGTGGAAGAGGTTGCACTTGATGTTTCCTAAATCGCCCGGCTCTGCCACGCAAAGCCTTTGTGCAATTGTCCCATCAGGAGCCCGTGGTACGAGCAGGGGCTCTGGGGCTCTGAATCCCCGCTGTCCCCCCTCCTCACACAGAACTTTCGGCAACTCACCCCTCTGCTCCTCGTGTCTGTAACAGGCGCTGGAATGGGTTGTTGGTTATCATTATCCCCATTTCCTGGGTGTTGAAACAAGGCTCATAGATGTAAAGTGACCTTTGCAAGGTCAAAGACGTCCTTTAGCCATGACCCTGTGCCAGTACCCTGCCCCACAACCCCCCTCCCTTGCTAGTAAGGTCGGAGGTCACACAGACGGATGGAGGAGGGGCTGGGTGGGTACCCAGGTCCTCGACGCTCTTGCCTCCTCACCTGCTCACTGCTGCCCCCTCACAGGACAGGGCCCCCTGGATCCCTTACCTGAGCATCGTCTGCATCCTGGCCATCATCGCGTCCTTCTGCAGCGGCCCAGGTAGGGCGCCCTCTTCTGCCCCAGCTGGCCCAGGGCTGGCGGCACCAACATGGAAGTCAGGGGCCCAGGGAAGGGCAGGACCTGATGGGGGATGGAGGGGAGAGAGAGAGAGATCCCAGCCATTCAGGTTCAGTGACGGCCTTCATGACCATCCCACAGGTGGTGGCCAATGTGCTGCCCAAGACACAATAGCAATAGCATTCACCTGTGGTCGGCAGACTGCAGCTCTTTGGCCCTTTGAGTGTGGCTCTTCCACAAAATACCACGACCTAGGCGAGTCTATGTTGAAGAAGTGGCGTTAGAAGAAGTTTAAGTTTAAAAAATGTGGCTCTCCAAAGCAATTTCAATCATTGTGCTGTTGATATTTGGTTCTGTTGACTAATGAGTTTGCCGACCACTGGAGTACAACAACAACTCCCAGCTGTGAGGGCATGAGGCCGGCACATGGGTTTGGGATGAATTCACGATACTCATGGTGCTGTCTGTGGCTGCCCACAGACAAGTCTCAATTCCGTGTGGAGGATACAATGATGATGATAACAGCGGCCATGGCTAAGATGTGTTGATCACTGACCACGTGGCTGTACTTGGCTCAGGCGGGGCTGTGGCCGCTCAAGAAGGTGGGGACGGAGGGAACTTGCCCGGAGCCGACAGGATAGCCATGCGGGACTCCCAGCCCCCAGCCACCACCTTGAGTGCCTGCAAGAGGGGAGTCTGTGCGTGCACCCAGGACTCGAGTCCAGCCCCAGCTCTGGCGTTGCCCTTGTGGGAATGTCCTCACTTCTCCTTGAGCCTCAGTTTCCCCATCTGTAAAATGGCCAATGTGGAGGAGACTGAGAATGGGCTGGGGGGGTGGGGGGGGTGGCCCCTGCCCCGCTCTCTGTGAGGCGCCCCTGGTGTCTGTGGGCAGGCTCGGGGCGACTCTCCTGGAGGCCACGGAGCCACCTCACTGCCATCTCTGTCCTGTCTTCAAATTGCCTCTCCTCCACATGTCCGTCCCAAAGTCCCTCTGCTTCTCTTCTTTTTTTTTCTTTTTTTCCAGAGAGGGAGGAAGAGGGAGAGAGATATAGGAGCATCAGTGATGAGAGAGAATCATGGATTGGCTGCCTCCTGCACGCCCCATGTGCCCTGACCAAGAATTGAACCCTGACTTCCTGGTTCATAGGTCGATGCTCAACCACTGAGCCACACGGCTGGGCCTAGTTGCCTCTTCCTCTAAGGACCCCAGTCAGACTGGATCAGGGCCATCGTATGACCTCCTTTTACCTTAATCACCCTTTTAAAGATCCCACCTCCACGTACAGTTACATTTTGGGGTGCTGAGGGTGGGACTTCAACCTGTGGAATTGGAGGAGCGGGGGAGGGAGGGCGCACAATTCAGCCCATCACAGTGATTACACGTAAAGGCCCTGGACGGACCGAGAGGCCTCAGCCCTCACACCGCTGAGGACCGGGACGGGACCCAGTAGCCTGGCCCTCTGTCCTTCGGAAGGATTCTCCCGTTTTGTCCATTTCCATATTTCTCCACCTGTAAGTGAGCTCCCCCTCTGGGCCAGCTGTGACCCGGATGTTGGGAGAAGCTGCTAGATCAGCCCCCACAGAGCTCACACTCCCAGATAGGGAGCCGGGCACGGCCAAGAAATATGTAACTATAAAGCCAGGGCAAGGGATGGCCCATGGGGAGAGAGGAGAGACCACATGGGGGTGAAGAGGGTCAGGGTGACCAGCAGGGGGCGCATTGTCACTGAGGCTGTAGGGAATGGCCTCCCAGCACTGGTGCTGCCTGAGCAAAGGTCTACCAAAGTCAGGGCCTGCATCCGGGCCCCGCCCCTCAGAGCTGGGTAACTTTGGGTAAGTGAAGGCACCTCTCAGGCTGCAGTCCGCCCCCCTGCCCCCGCCCCAGGGACAGGTAGCCAGCAGTCCCAGAGATGAAATGATGAGTATTCCTAATGCAATGTATTCCGCAGATCATCAGATCGGCACACGCAGTCCTCACCGCCCGGCCATTCAGAGAGCGTGGGGGAATGTGGGAGGTGAAGGGGGGAATGTGGGAGGTGAAGGGGGGGAACCTCTTGTGCAGACCAGCCAGGTCAGGGGTGGTGTCCTGCCTGTCAGAGCTCTGGGCTGTAACCCGCTCCGAGGCCGCCGCTCACACAGGCTGCTCACACATCTCCCGCCCCTGCCCTGCCACAGGAGATGGGGGCTGGTGGCATGGCTCCCCCTCGGGGTGACTAATCCCCCCTAACCCCACCCCCCGCTGTCCTGCAGGCGGCATCCCCTTTGTCCTGACGGGCGAGTTCTTCCAGCAGTCCCAGCGGCCGGCCGCCTTCATCGTGGCGGGCACTGTCAACTGGCTCTCCAACTTCGTCGTGGGCCTCGTCTTCCCCTTCATCCAGGTGAGGCTGGCTGGTCTTCCCCTTCCTTCATATGGGTCAGGCTGGCTGCTCTTCCCTTCATCCGGGTCAGGCTGGCTGGTCTCCCCCTCCATCCGGGTCAGGCTGGCTGCTCTTCCCTTCATCCGAGTCAGGCTGGCTGGTCTCCCCCTCCATCCGGGTCAGGCTGGCTGCTCTTCCCTTCATCCGAGTCAGGGTGGCTGGTCTCCCCCTTCATCCGGGTCAGGCTGGCTGCTCTTCCCTTCATCCGAGTCAGGCTGGCTGGTCTCCCCCTCCATCCGGGTCAGGCTGGCTGCTCTTCCCTTCATCCGGGTGAGACTGGCTGGTCTCCCCCTCCATCCGGGTGAGGCTGTCTGGTCTCCCCCTTCATCCAGTAAGGCTGGCTGGTCTCCCCCTCTATCCGGGTCAGGCTGGCTGGTCTTCCCTTCATCCGGGTGAGGCTGTCTGGTCTCCCCCTTCATCCAGTAAGGCTGGCTGCTCTTCCCTTCATCCGGGTGAGGCTGTCTGGTCTCCCCCTTCATCCAGTAAGGCTGGCTGCAGCCTCTCACCAGCCAGGTCCCCTCTGACTAGGCAGCCCTCAGAGTGAGGGCAGGTCACAGAGCCGAGGCCGGTCCATCCCCTGGAGACTTTGCCTAAGGAAGGGCCTTGGCCCAAACCTTTCACCCTTCTCCCTCCTCCCTCCGAGCACTCCCTACATGCTAAGGGCTGCTTCAGAGGGAGGGAGTCCCCAGTCGTGGAGGGCCCGCAAGGAAAGCTGGGTAGAACCTCAAACCTGCAGCCCGCTCACCGCTTTTGCTGTGTCTGTCACTGTGATTCCCACACAATCATGGGCCGAGTAGCAGCGTGTTGTGAGGGGGCTCGCCTTCATTCCCACAGGCTCACTTTCAGCAGGGCACCCGCTGGGCTGGAGCTCCAGGAGGAAACATGGACGGGGTGGAGGAGGGGGTCTGGAAGAGGCAGGGAGGAATTCCAGCAGAGCCTCTGCGGGACCCCCTGGGTCAGTGTAGCATGTCCCTGAAAGGCTGCTGGGCTCTGAGAAACAGGGCTGTGACAAGGAGGAGCCGAGGACGCGGCGGGTCTCAGTGTAGGACAGGGAACCCCAATAAAATGCGTGGGTCCCCTTCCTGCTTCTCCCAGGTGGTCACCAAGCCTCCCCGGAATCCTCTGCAAATGATTCTCGGGGCCCCTAGAGGAGAAGCACATCCAGGGGGGCACAGCCCCAACAGCTGGAACCCTGAGAGCCTTTTTCTTGACAAACATTTGCTGAGCAACTACATGCACCAGGCTCTGCGGGCACAGGACTGCCGAGGTGCCTGGTGCAGCTGGTCTAGTGCAGCCGGCAGGGCCGTTCTCGCCCGAGCACTTGCCGCCATAAGCAGGATGCACGAGCTAGAGCAGTGTCGGCAAACTCACTAGTCAACAGAGCCAAATATCAACAGGACAACGATTGAAATGTCTTTCGAGAGCCACATTTTTTAAACTTAAACTATGTAGGTAGGTACATTGCTAGTAACTTAATTAGGGTACTCCTAAGCTGGCCTTTGCAAAACCTCAAGGGGCCCATGAGCCGCATGTGGCTCTCTTTGCCGACCACTGAGCTAGAGGGACTGCATCCCACGTTTCTCTCTTCTTTGTCCAAGGCTGCATCAGAGTAACAGTCAGTGAGTTATAGCTTTGCATGTTAGAGAAAGTGATGTCATCTGGGCATAGTAATGTTCCATATTTTTCTTGTGAATGGAGGAATTTCACTTCCTTTTGACATCACACTTTTCTCACGTGTATATTGGAGGAAAGGAAGAATGAAGTTAATGGTAAACATGAGCTTAAGATAGTGTTAGATAGCCCAGCCAGTGTGGGTCAGTGGATGAGCATTGACCTATGCACAGGAGGTCAAGTTCGATTCCAATTTTTAAAACATACTTTTTAAAGAGGATAACCTTAGATAGTAATTGGCTTTCACAATCATTAAGTTTTATATGCCCACTTTTCTTTTTTTTTAATTTGTTATTGATTTCAGCAAGGAAGGGTGAGGGAGAGAGAGAGAGAAACATCAATGATGAGAGAGAATCACTGATCAGCGGCTTCCTGCATACCCCACACTGGGGACGAAGCCCACAACCCGGGCGTTTGCTCTGACCGGGAATCAAACTGTGACCTCCTGTTCGCAGGTAAATGCTCAACCACTGAGCCACACCCATCGGGCTATATGCCCACTTTTCTAAAAAAAAAAAAAATAAAAATAAAAAAAGTAATAAGTAAAGACTGCCACTTCCTCATCTTTCCTGGGGTTTGAAGTTGATTTATTCATGCCTCATGGGAGACGTCTCCTGTACACAATTATAAGGCACATTTGCGTGGAGAGCTGCACCTGGGGATGCTGGCTGATGAATGGGGACCATAAAGAACAGTCTGGCCCTCACTAGTTTGGCTCAGTGAATAAAGCATCAGCCTGTGGACTGAACGGTCCAGGATTCGACTCTGGTCCAGGGCCCATGCCTGCATTGCAGGTTCGATCCCCAGTGTGGGGCATGCAGGAGGCAGCTGATCAATGGTTCTCTGTCATAAATGATGTTTCTAACTCTCTCTCTCTCTCTCTCTCTCTCTCTCTCTCTCTCTCTCTATATATATATATATATATATATATATATATATATATATATATAATTTTTATTTATTTATTTTTATTTATTTATTTATTTATTTATTTTTAACAAAAAACAGTTGCTCAGAGGTGGTTTCGTGCCCAGTGTGATGTTTGTCTAGCTGACGCTTTTGTCTCCGCCTTCCCACAGAAAAGCCTGGGCACCTACTGCTTCCTGGTCTTTGCCTTCATCTGCCTCGCGGGTGCTGTCTACTTATTCATTGTCCTCCCTGAGACCAAAAATCGAACCCATGCCGAAATCAGCCAGGCATTTGCCAAAAGGAACAAGGCCTACCCACCAGCAGAGAAGACAGACTCGGCCGTCGCCGACGACAAGGCCACAGACAGGCCGGAACCAGAGGCCTCCTCCACGCTGGACAATCACGTCAAAAGTGGGATTGTCTAAACCACGGGGGTGGGCGGGGCAGGACGGGGGTGAGACCTTTTTTCTGCCGAGGGCCACTCGGATGTCTGTGACATCGTCCTCAGGCCATACATACAGAATCATCCACTTAAAAACCAGCCTGTTCTATTTGACCAAGCATTTCATTAGCACACCCCGGACACCTTGGCAGGGCTGGAGCACGTGGTTCCTGGGGTTTTATGCAGCCTGCGGGCCGGATGTTCCCCACCCCTGGTCCTCACGATGGTCTCACCATTTCAGAAAGCCAAAGATCCCCCGACATGTTGAACATTATGAAGTACTTAAAAGTGAAACTTTGCTCACTTAATACTGCAACCATGTGGGTTTCGTGCACGGCTGTGTCCCCCAGACTCTCCCAGAAGCTGGAAGCGGCCACCCTGTGTCTTAGCAGACCCCGCATTCTCCTACACGGATCCCCGGCCCGCCCTCTTCACACCTGAGCCCAGGGCTCCGAGTTGGAATCGAGGAGCGGGCCCTCCGATGCTTTCTGGGAGGATCGCAGTGCCGTGGGGCACAGGCCTTGAGTCCCTGCTCTGCCTGCCGCAGCCAGGAGCTGCCACCGTCCGATCCTGAGTCCCCAGGGAACCCAGGCCCGGGTCCTGGGCACAGATGTTCAGGACTTAGGTAAAGGATTTCTCAGACAACCTGGCAAATGCCTGGTCCCCATCTCTGGCCTGCCCTGTGGACCTCTGACTCAGAGGAGCCTGCTGCCATCCCCACCCGGCTCTGCCTGCCTTGGCTGTCCCATGGGGCTCAAGGCCGCCAGCCCTGAAACACAGTCACCTCTGAGGGCCAGATGTGTCCAGAAACCAGAGAGAGGACCCCACAGTGAAGTCTCAGGAGGCCGATGCAAGAAGTAACATTTCGGTAGATGGCACGCTTTTCCGTGGGAACCATCAACAATGTTAAGACTGGTTCTGCGGCTGCACAGAGTGGAGGGGAAGGACGCGGCGATGGCCTGGTGCTGTCTGCCCCGCGTGTGCCTCGTGGCTGCCGATCCTGGAAGAGATGCCGCTGGAAGATGGCGTGTGAGGCAGGGTTCCCAGAGGCACAGAAATCTACACACACTCAGCTCAGGGTCTACAGGCTCAGCTCCAGGCCACCACGTAAAGCAAGTCTCAATAAACGAGTCTCACACACACGTGGTTTCCTGGTGCACATAAGAGTTATTTTTACACCCTGTGGCGTCTATCTTGTGTGCAATTGCGTTATGTCTGAAATATGTACATACTTCAATTAAAAGCTATTTATTGCAAAAACAAAAAACGCTAACCGTCTTCTGAGCCCTTCAGCAAGCTGCAGTCTTTTCCTTGGTGGTGGTGGTGGTGATTACAGATGTGGTCAGTCTTTTTGCTGGGGGAGGGTCTTGCCTCAGGGTTGGTGGCTGTAATTGATGGGGGGGGGGCGGTGATGGCTGAAGGTTGGAGAGGCAAGAAGGTTGGGAGGCAATTTCTTAAGACAGCAGAGAAGCTTGCCACACCCACCGACTGTTCCTTTCACGCACGATTTCTCTGTCGCGTGCGACGCGGTGTGGTAGCATTTTATCCACAGCACGACTTCTTCCAGAACGGGAGCCCGTCCTCCCCAGCCCTGCCACTGTTTATCAACAAAGTGTATTACACGTTATCCATCTTGAGCTGTCATTTCAATGGTCTCCACGGCGTCTTCCCGGGAAACGTGGTGCCGTAGACCTGCTGACGTGCGGTGGCCCAAACCTTCTGTTTGTAAAACCCACGATCTTCCTGCAGCACAATCACCCCGGGCAGCCCGTGCTGGACTCAAACACTGCCCCACCCCGCCCAGGCTAGCCAGGGCTCATCTTGGCTGTTTCTCTGCACGATGTCTCAAAAAGCTTCTCTCTTCCTCAGAATCCCAAGAATGCTGACTTTAAAACACACACACACACACACACACACACACACTCACAAATATTTTTATTGATTTTAGAGAGAGGAAGGGAGAGGAGAGAGAGATAGAAACATCAATGATGAGAGAGATTGGCTGCCTCCTGTATGCCCTCCCCCAAACTGGAGATAGACCCCACAACCCCGGGCATGTGCCCTTGACTGGAATCGAACCCAGGACCCTTCAGCCTGCAGGTCAACACTCTATCCACTGAGCCAAACCAGCTAGGGCGAATGCTGACTTTTTGATGCCTTTTAGCCTTTTTTTTTTTTTTTTTTAATATTTGTATTAATTTCAGAGAGGAAGGAAGAGGGAGAGAGAAACATCAACGATGAGAGAGAATCATGGATCGCTGCCTCCTGCACACCCCACACAGGATCGAGTCCGCAGCCCTGGCATGTCCCCTTGACAGGGAATCAAACCATGGCCTCCTGGTTCATAGGTCAACATTCAACCACTGAGTCATGCTGGCCAGGCTTTAGCTCTTTCTGGTACATACTGGGCACCAGAAACATTGCTTTATTGGAGGGAGGAGCCAATGAAAACATGTGGGTGCAGTGACAGGCACACTGGCCACCTACCTGAGATTGAAGCTGAAGGACCCCCTAAGGGTGCGGGGCAGTGAGCAGTGAGGATCCAGGGTCCGGACTTCCTGGAGCAGCGGGGCCATGACAGCCCGACCTGCCTAGCAACAGCCTTTGCTTACGAGAGCCAGACCCTCTCTCACTTGGGGTTCCTTGTACTCATGATCAAACCTAAACTCTGTTCAGACAGTCACCACAGGAAGCAACCCCGGCAAATGGGAATGGATCGAGCTGGTCCAGTTGTCTAGACACCAGGCAGCTGCTCCCTTGGGCCCCAGCCAGGCGGCAGGGACTCCTGTTCAGGATTCTCCGGGTGCAGACGCTTTGTCTCGGAGCTGTCTGGGGTGCTGACCTGGGTTTTCTGCCTGACAACGTTCATTCCCCTTCTGTTCAAGTTTGCAAAATACCTCCACGGTATCGCCTCTGGCAGCTTAAAGCAACAGTGTCTTTTAAAATATATCTATTTTTATTGGTCTCAGAGAGGAAGGGAGAGGGAGAGAGAGAGAGACACATCCATGGTGAGAAAAAATCATGGATCAACTGCCTCCTGCACACCCCCCACTGGGGATCGAGCCCACACCCAGGGCCTGTGCCCTGACCGGATAATCTCTCTGAGGAGAGAGAGAAAACCTGTGAAGCATACATTCCTGGGTTCCTTCATTTGAGCCAAACCCTGAGCTCCCCGCTCCAGGTCCCGCCATGTTTAATGTTCCCAGCACTGCTCTCCAGGACCTCTTTGGCCCAGCCCCCTGTCTCCAGAGCAGCTGCTCTGATATGCATCTCCCCTCCTCTCCCCGGGACCCACCCGGACACCGACCCCTTCCACGGTGACAGCCCGCCTCCCGCTCCCCTGTGGTGGCCCGCAGCGTCTCAGCCCTGTGTCATCCTCCATCGCGTGGAATCCATGCAGCGTGTTTGGGCCACGGAGACTCAGAAAACGTGACACGGGCAGAGAAGCTCGATGGGGGCTTGTGCTCCAGGGCTTCCCCTCTTAGATGCTGATGCCACGGTGTGCGGGAGCCCAGGCCAGCCTCCTGGGGAAGGAAGGACCCATACGAGGCTGAGCCCGCCCAGGTGGCCTCCGCCCGGAGGCAGCTGTGCGGGTGAGTGCACAGGAGAGCAGCAGAAGGCTCACCAACCAGTCACAGCGTCACAGGAAAGAAGAAAGTGTGGCTTTAGCCCGGCCGGCGTGGCTCGGTGATTGAGCATCGACTTATGAACCAGCAGGTCAGAGTTCGATTCCCCGTCAGGGCACAGGCCCGGGGTGGGCTCGATCCCCAGTGTGGGGCGTGCAGGAGGCCCTGGTAGCAGTGGGTGTTGGGATGCGGGATCTCGGACGTTGTGGCCGTCTGTGAGGGGAAGCTGACCGGGAAGCTGTGGCTTCTGATCACTGGGCTGCTGCGGGGCATAGGGGGGTGGGGGACCCGCGCTGACACCAAAGCACCAGGGCGCTCCTCAGGAGGGAAAAGACAGCCCCCGACCACAGCATCCTGAAGTGCCCGGAGCTGCCTTACTCCGGTGCCTGCAGCCTTGGGACACTGGTGTTCCGGTGCACAGACTCCCCGCCCCCCCAACTAAAGTCCCTCCAAAGGGTCAGAGAGGGATGAGGACCAACCTAAATCTCAACTGCCCACCCTCCTGTGGACTCAGCAGCCTCTACGACCCCACCATTCCTCTTCTCCTTCCACAGGCATCTGTTCAGCCTGGCTCAGGGCCCCCTCCGGCACACACTGTCAGCGTGAACGGTTGGAGTGTTTGGAAAACCGCTTCATGTGGAGTAGTGAGACATGGGCAAGGTTTCCTTGAAAGAGCCAGGGGTGTCTACCACCAGGGCGCCTGCCAGGATCCCACAGCCAACAGGAGGTAAGGCAGAGCGGGCGCTCCAGCTCAGTGCACGTCTACTAGAATGGTGAGGGAAGCCCCGGCCTGTGTTGCTCAGTGGTGAGAGCACCAGCCTGCAGACCCAAGGGTCGTGGGTTGGATTCCCAGTCAAGGGCACGTACCTGGGTTGCAGGTTCAATTCCCTGGGCCCAGCCGGGGAGGCAACCAATCGATGTGTCTCTCTCCGGTTGATGTTCCTCTCTCTCCTCCTTTCTCCTTTCCTTCCACTCTCTAGAAATCAATGGCAAAAATGTCCTTGGGTGAGGATTTAAAAACAGAAAAGGAAAGGTGAGGGGAAGGAATGCTGGTGTATATGGAATTTTTTTAATTTATTATTTTATTGACTTTTTACAGGGGGAAGAGAGAGGGATAGAGAATTAGAAACATTGATGAGAGAGACATCAGTCAGCTGCCTCTTGCACAACTCCTACTGGGGATGTGCCCACAACCAAGGTACATGCCTTTGACCAGAATGGAAACTGGGACCTTTCAGTTCGCAGACCAACACTCTATCCACTGAGCCAAACCAGTTTCAGCAATTTTTTAATTGCCATGTCCTCTGGCTAACAATGTTTTGTGATGGTGGGAGGAGATGATGAGGGCGTCCTGAGGGAGGAGGCACGCAGTGCAGATGAGAGCTGGTGGGGATCCGGCTCTCCGAGCTGGGTGTCAGGGCCAGGAGCCTCTCTCCCCAGACCTGTGTAAGTTAAAGGGGCCAGCCAGCCGGCAGCACGCCTCTGGGTGATGTATGATATTTCCACTTCTCTCTGGGGCTGCTTATATTTGTTAAGATCTGCTTTATGGCACTAGACTAAGGCGACCAGATTTTAACATTGGTAAAGCAGGACACCATTGACCGGAAGGGTAGGGGGTGAGAGCGTTCTTGATTAAAAATTTGGTCTCTATGGAGCAACAAAAATTTTCATAGAACGCAAAAATAGTATTGTAATATATTTTTTTAAATTTCAACATAAGTACAATTTACAAATATAATAAATAAAAATTTATGTATAGTATTATTTTATTCTTTGGCATATTTCTCATTTCAGTGAATTCTAACAACTGATCAACAATTAACATTATAAAATTAACAAAAATAATATAAAACTCATATCCTGGCTAAATAGCCACATGGCCGCCGAAAAAACCGTATATTCCCTTCCCATTCTCCCGCTGTTCCCTAGCTTGTCGTGCATTCTTTCCAAAAATCGGGACTTTTTTAAAACGACGCAGGACAAATTGTTAAAAATCAGGACTGTCCCGCCAAAAGCTGGACGTCTGGTCACCTTACACTAGACTCTCAACTGCTCTGGCAAAGGCAGCTTGGGAAGAGGGCTACAAGGACAGAGAAGCGCAGCCAACCAGCCGGGCCAGGCGCCACGGTCACACTGTGGGACAGCCTGGGGCACTGGCACCCTTAGAAGTGCTGCAGTCAGGAGCCAACCAGCAGATGCCGGCTCAGCCCCGTGATGACCTGGCCTCTCGGGATAATCCCTCCAGCCCACGATCCTTAACTCCATCACGTCTCTTGCCATATACGGGAATGTGCCCCCTTGTGCCATAGAAGGTACCGTGCGCAGGCCCTGGGAACTGGGATGTGAGCATCTTTGGGGCCCAGGACTCGCCTGCGCGGTAACCAGGGCTACGTCAGCGGCCTCCCCTCTGCACCAGGCTTCCTGTGCTCTCAGCCTCCAACGCAGCTGCCTCCCCATCCAGTGCCCCATCGTGAGGTCAGTCTGGCCAACGGGACACCTCCCATTGTCCAGTTCTCACTCTTCTGTCCCGTCCTCTGAGTGCCCTGTCAGCGTGCCTGCCTGGAGAGGAATCTGAATTCCTGCCGCCTGACCCCCACTGGCGCTGCTGGGGGAGGTGAGAAAGGCCCC